GGGGCCCCGCGGCGAGGGCCCAGGGGCGCTTTCCTCCACGGGGAGCCGTGCGGCCGCCCACTCGTGGCCATGGGTGGGGAAAGGGGCCGCCGCCTGCTCCGCCGCTGCTGGGCCGGTGGCGCTCCCCGGCACCTGGTTTATAAATGGCGGATAACAGGGGCTTCGCAGCTTTTGTCAGGAGTTAACTTCGTACCGTGCTGGAGCGGCCTGTCCGCAAGCGTAGAGGAGGTGTGGAGGGTAAAAAGAAAGGCGTTTGTTTAATACAGCTGAGAATGTTGGCTTGCTTTCTCTCACCCTGTACATCAACATGCATGAAGTAAGACCAGTCTTTGCACAGTGCCATAAATATGAAATAAGGAGAAGAATCACAAAGAAAATGAGGCAGTTCATGTGCAAAATACAGGTTAGATGTTAGACGAGCTTAGCTTAATGGCCAGTTACATGTTTAAGGAAAATACTTGAGAAACCAAGGATTATCAATGTGTGAGAGATGGGAGGAGTGCATCACAATTCCTTGCAGAGATGAAATTTCTGATCTTGGTGAATAAAAAGAGAGTGCACAAATAGAAAAGAGGTTTTACTCCAGGTTATGACCTGAGTAAGGTCTGTAGACAGTTGTGTTTGGGCACCATCAGAAACCATTTGGGCTGGACTAACGTTGAAGGATGTGAAAGCAGACTGGGATAAGGGAAACATGGAGAAATAATGATCCTGCTGAATGTGGGGTAGGGGAGCTAATATTGTCCAGATGTGAGAAATAAATGTGACAGAATGGCATGAGATGTGAATGATTCAATGGACTGTAAAGTAACAGGAAGCGATTGTATGGATTAAAAAGAAAAGTCAAGCATATCATTGCTTTGAGAAAAGGAAATTATAAGAGCTTTTGATGGTGTCTGCTGTAGACCACAAGAGTTGGATTTGCATAAGGATATTACTGAGATACTACTAGGAATTATGTCACAGATGGTTTTCTTTCTTAGATACAGTAGATAACAGCATCATTTGGGAAGGACATCGAGCGATCCAGTTGTTCTTACATACAACTGCTATAAGCTTACCAAGTAAACATTGAATTGCTTTAGACTTGCTCTCAGTGGGTAGCGTGGAAAATTCTGAGAAAAGCTGGTTTATTAGTAAGCTTGTGATCTCGGATCACATTCTTAAATTAGATATTATAAATAAAGTAGAAGACTAAACAGATACAAATTCTCAATTTTAGAAGGGCAAGCTTTGAAAAATCAAGAGGATTAATTAGTGATGTTAGTTGTGCTGGAGTCCTGAGGGCCCTAGAAACAAGGAAGGTATGAAGCTGTTTTGTGCCAAAGGTAGAATCTGTTTGGAATTTAGATCCAAAGAATGAGAAAAGGTCTATTGAAAAGAACTTTCACCTATATTAAAAAGGGTTTTAGGAATAAAGGCTAGAAAGAGGATGGATAAGCAAAGAAAAATACAAGAGATAAAGTGCAGTTCTAAAGTGAGAACTGACAAAAGTAGTTCCAAGTTAGTTACAGGTGGTTGGTTTTTAAAGCTTCTTTAATCATGTAAGTAAAAACAAGGATAGTAATAAGACTATGGAGTGATAAAGTTGAGGTAAAATAACCTTGGCATCATGATGCATATGATCTGTTGCAGTTTGGAGGAGGCTACTGCAGTGGGTAGATTTGCTATTAGATGCTTAAGTTTATACCACAATGAATAACATTTTGTCTGTTAATTATTTTTTAAGAGTTGGGTAACTTCTACGTGTTATGTTTAATCACATGCTCTTGCTGCTTAACTTTGGTCAGTTCCAGTATCAGAAGACTGTTAAAGAAATATTCAGATGGACAGTTACACAGTCATTTACTCATAGAGGAAGTGGGCTAACTTTATTTACTATTGTATTTCTCTCTGCTATAACATACGTTATCTTTTTATGTGGACAGCTATAACTATAAAAGTTTTTAAACTATCATAATTCTCAGCTCCAGGTGTGTCATACTGTTATATATGTGTGCATATTTATAGATTTTTAAAAATATATGCATTTATATGTTTGATGTGCATTTATGTGTTTGATGTAGTTACCTAGGCAAATTCTGTCTTTGTGTGAGAGAGAGATTGCTCCATCCTCCCACTCACCCACCCATGCTGGGTTCATGGGAAGTGCTCTGGCAAGTGCCCAGTGTTACAGGGAAGTGTAGCTACAGCCAGATTCATGCTGGAACTGTGCGAGACGTCCGTCTTGAAAAAACTCTTCTCTTGGTGACCCAACACGTAGCCCTCTTAGCTGTAGGCAGGAGCCCTTACCATGGACCAAGGCTCCAATGTGCAGAAAGACTGTGCTAAACTGAAGTAAGCAAGGAATGTAGAAAAGAGAGCCAGGTGTGGTTTTAGTAATGCTTATGTTTAGGTTTTTTATTAAGGCTTAGAATGTTTTAGAAGATCTATTTTATAAATTAAAGCTTTTAGTGTAAATGAGGCTAGAATGACCTTCCTTGGACATATAAGGAAGTGATAAAAGGTTAGAACTGTAGAAGCTGTGAATATTTCTTCTTTAACAGCTCGAGCAGTCTGTGAAATCAAAGAACCAACAGCTATACCTGATGTATGGCTCAACATTTGTCTGGATCAGGTAACTGCAGACTGCTAACAGTTTAGGCTAAATCAGATTTACTTAGAGGGGCATAACAAAATGTGTGCCTTTGTGTGCTGTTTTTCTGTTAATGCAGCATAGTATTTCTGATTACATAGTAACAGAAGGGTTCTTCCCAGACACGCTGTTCCTGTGGCATCGAGTTTGATGTCCAGTCGGGCTCCCACGTGCAAGTTGCAATGCCACCTAACATCTGAAGCTTGTACACAGTTCATCCTGAACAACTTGAAGACCTGTTACTGTTTCTTAAATTCTTAAAGCTTTAATATTTTCTGTACTAAGATTCCTTAAGTTTATAAAGATATAGTATCTGTTTCTTTCACATATTTATTTGCATTATTTTCATTTGGCTTCATTACATGGTTAATATTTTTAATAAAATTCTTTTAAAACCAAATCTTTGAAATACTTTTGTTTCCCTAAAGCTAGTTCTTTGAACTCTCACATCAGAAGGTCATGATGAAGAATAAGTTTCAATTCTACCAAATTATATGGTAAATTAAATTTTATGTAGCATTTAAAATAGATAAGAGCTAACAATTGTATCAGTTGTATTTTATTACATTTGTTTGTATGTACGGATTACAGGAACTGAAGTGGGTTTAGAGTTTGGCTAAGCAAAGAAAAAGATCTTTTCAAGTTACTTACCTGAAAATCTTGGATCAGGCTCATTAAAAAATGAAAAAAAATGTTTTTATTCATCATCTCAGGTTAAATTTAGGTTACATTAGGTGACATTAGGTTAGATTTAGATACAGGAATGACATCCTCTTCCCAAGAGACTGTCTAACAAAATGTATGATTATTGTAATTCACTTCAAGGTCTTGAGATAATTTTTATTATATTTTTTTTTCTTTTAACTACAGAAGTAAACCACTAACTATGTGAAAATTACTCCAGCATCCTCCTGTAATGTAGTTCAGCATTGAAGGTAGTTCTTGCATTGTTTCTGTGATCTGAAATACTTGATTGCCTTCAAAAGGTATTTTTGCACTTATAGAAAGACGGATAAATATTTTAAAGTGAAAATATTTTTTGATTGACACCTTCTTATCAGTTTTTTTTAGCTGCTGACCTTGACATTTCAGTAAGTATATTAGAGGGATAATTTTAGTATAAACTTCATTATATTTTCTAGTCTTTGTATTTCTGGCTTTCATTTGTTAAATAGTTTGTCTTTCTTATTAGTTGTTAGTCACTTTATTAAATTTTTGTTTTTTCAGTCAAGTAGATGGATAGCCAAAGCTTTGAAATTATTTTTTGAGATGTCTGTAGGGTTTGTAGAATGAGAAAAGAATTTGAGGGTTTTTTTTTTCTTCTGTTTAAGCATTTTCCCTCTGTTGGGTGATGATGCATTTTTTCAATCAACTCCACTCTTGCTGCTCGCTGGTAAACAATACACTATTCTTCATCAATGATGATGATAAACAGCAGTTCTAAGGGGAAAAAAATAATTGGAATAGGAATGGGAGAAATAAAGAAACTTAATACAAGCAGTGTGTCTTACCATCATACAGGACTTTTAAAAGTCCTATATGATTTTATAAAAATCAGATTAGTCAAATTGTCTTGCTAGCCCAAAACCTCAAGGTGTGAGTTTTTTTGGAGGTGAGGGGAAGGTGTCTCAGGGATCTACATATGATTTTTCAAAGCAGTTTTGTCATGTAGGTCAGAAATTTCACACCAGACCCTAACACTTACTTTTAAACCATTGGAGAGTTGAACAATCGTGCCTTCTGTTTTCTTTCCTCTCTTCTCATTTATTTCAAAATGTTTTTCCATGATGTATTTGCTCTTTATCACAGAGGTATTGAACCTGCAGTGAAGGATGGTGCTAAGGTTGGGTAACAGAACAGTATTCTTACTATCTTCCGTGCTTTTTGTGTGCCCATGTTTTCATTAGTGCATTGTTTGCATCTTATCCTTCACTGCTTTCATTCTTGGCAACCAATTTCCTTTTGGGGTTGATGGCATTACTGAAAAAAAGGCCTCTGCGAATAGGTTTCAAGCATCTAACTCCAATAGAGCATACTGCATGTAGATGAACCTGTGAAAACTTCAGTGGGGTCATGCTGGAGGTTCATCCCTGGAGCCAGTGGGTGAAACTGGATGTCATGCCAAAAGAGGAGTGGCATCTGACAAGACGTTTTTGGCTAAAGTTTTGTCTCTGGAGATTGAGACAATAAAGCTGTCGTACCTCAGATCATTATAATTAGAAATTTCTGTAGGACCTACCTACCTTGCAAGGTAAGAGGGCAAGAATGTCAGTCTTTCAGGCTGTAAATACACCAGTCTTTCAGAGTTTCTTGGATCTAGTCTCTAAATTGCAGTAGATCCGCTCTTGCAACTATGTAGGAAGCCAGTGGAGCTTTCATTCAGGAGCTGAGAAGTCACAGTCTGGTGTCAAGAAGCAGAAAAGAGGGAGAGAAGACTATGCTTTAGTTAGAGTTAGTTATTTTTCAAACAACTACTTACGGTTTATCAAGGTCTGCATTTTCTCTCAGTAATGGAAAATTCGGCATCAATGGAAGAATGAATGACAAGCTGAGTTCTGTCAATTTATTGTCAGCGCTGGATGGAGTAGTGACATTTCACTATACGTGCAGGAGGAAGATAATTTTGAAAATGGTCTTCCTAGAAAGGGAATGTGACCTGTTCAGTAGGAATAACTGTTGACAATATTACTGGCCTGTTCTCTCCTGCAAGATCACTTGAGGAAGTTAGCATCATTTCATGACTACTCTGGTAGGAAACTGCTGAGAAATCAAGAATATCAGAGAAGGTTGGGTTCCTTCCCTGAAGGTGTCAGCAAGTCCCTTTTTTCTGTGACTTTTTTCTCCTAATCTTTTCTAAGCCCTGGGGAAGAAGCTCCAGACAGACCTTTGATTCAGCAGATGAGATTTATAAATGTTCAAATTAAGTGGGAGGAAGTACTAAGTGGAGTTCTGAAAATTTTTGTTTGCTTGCCAAGTTCCTAGAGAGAGAATCTACAAGAATGTTTACATTCGAATGAGTCAGTGAACTTCTTTAAATATTTAGAATTAAATGGTTTTAGACTGCTAATAGAACTTGGCTATGAAAACTAGTATTTGTGTTCCTTAACATAATCTTATCTGTACTGCTTAAGTGTATGTGCCTTACCCAAAGACCTGTCATGGTTGGACTGAAACTAGGGTCAGAACTTTCAGATTCCAAGACCTAAACTCAGACTGCCAGAGTATGCTGTCTAGCTTCTTAATTGTACTTGGATTCCAGCTAAGAGATTTGTGAAAGTTTAATATAAATATTTTTGTATTAGAATGCTGTTCACTTCCTCAAGAAATGGACATTCACAACAATGAAGTTTTCTCCTTTAGGTCTGCATTTCAGAATTTTTTCTGGAAAATGTATATAAAGTTTTAATATGTGAGAAATATTTCTTGCTTTTTACTTTCTAAATTAAGTTTTTTTGTTTTGTTTTGTTTTGTTTTTTGTTTTTTTTAACATAGTGGTTAGCTGTTTTAAAGTAAGGCTTCCTGGCAATTATGTGCGTATTATACAATTTAGTAGATGAACAACCCCAGTAACTTGTCTGAAATAGCTAGGTTATGTTTTTCTTCTGTACCTGAAGTACTTGGATATACAGGTTTTTATCTTTTAATTTTTGATGAAATTTTTGATGAAAATACTGATGACAAAATTTCTTCACTCTGTATATACAATGGTTATTTTTCTGGAGGGAACATTCCTACGAGTAGGCAAATATGAATCATCACTGGTACTTTAAATGTATCTTAAATCAATTACAAGTTTTTAGAAAGAACACTTTTTCAGATGCAGACATGTGGCAATCAATATGTACTTTTATTAGTATACGGAAATTGAATAAAAGAATAAGCTGGTGTAATTTGAGCCATCCCACGTACTCCTATAGAGCTGCTCAGAAATCAGGAGTCTATGTTTGCAGAACAGCTTGAAGAATGGAGTTGCAGGGTAATTTTCACTTAGTTGTATATGAGATAAAACATTTTATAATTTGAGTTGTGAGGACATGTTAGTGATCTTAGTTCTTGAAAAGTTAGAGCTAAACTGTCAGCATGTTTGTGGGATTCTGAAAAGTAGTGGGCCGGAGAATCTTTTGTTAGGTAGCTGAAATGGTTAGATCCTAACATATCTTTCTTTATATTAACAAATAAATTGTCAACTTTTTAAAGTCAGACTATGCTTTTGCCTAAACAGAAGCAATAGAATTGAAATATTAGAACTTGAAGAATCGTGGATATCAGTTAGGTATCAAATGGCTTGAGGAAGGAAAAATATAATTCTACATCTATTTAAATCAGAAAATTCATAGTTACTAGTTATTCTCTTGCAGGACATGTCAGCCCTGTGGGCTGAATGTAGGCTAAGGATGGCCAAGAAGTGGGTGACATATGTCATCATTGCTAGGGAGTGCCGGAAATTGATGCTCTAAAATACTGGATAACCTTGATAATCAGTTTCACAGTAGGACTACACATGTACTTGAAATTAAATGTTTCAGAGCTGCAGTTCAGTGGTATGGTCCTGCTTATTTTGTGGTCATGCCAAAGGCCTTAATTAGGCTAGTTGTTTCTAGTTTAAAGGGAGATAATGTACACAAAATAAACTGGTTGCATTCTTGTTGTTTGAACAAGTATGTGGAAGAAAAGAAGATGACAAATCACTCAACAGCGAGAGCTTAACAAACTAACCCATCTCCATTAAGTTGTAAAGCATGAATGGCTGTATGTACTTATTGAGGGCTCTGTTCAGTTCCACATGCATGTCTAGTGCCATTTAGTTCTTAGCTGCTGCTCTAGCATAGCATGGATACCCTATAGGCCCTGTATTATATCTGCCAGCACAGTTTGGTGCCAGGGCTCCCTAGGATCATCTCAGATAGCAGTAGGTGCTAATGTGTGGGCAGCTGAATCAGCCATTTAGTCTTTCCTAGTTGAAAGGGAATATAACTTAGCTTTCAGTATGGTTCTGTGTTTGAACCTTAAGCTCAAAGTCAACATGGACAGGAGAGTAGCTGGACTTTCACACGTGAGCTGTATTTGTCATTTAACATCTCAAACTACATGTATAAAATACACTGTGTGTATGTTGAAGCATAAGCTTAACAGTGTGCATATTCAGTATAGTTGAGCTGCAGCAATTGTTTGGTTTTAGATAAAAAATGTTTTTGTTTATTCGGTAAATTAAATTATATTTGTTAAAACATGAACATTTATAATATTTAAATCATATGAATTTTATGTATTCTGTGTCCTTGGCCTAGGTCTTATGGCATGAAGTCTTACTTAAGAGGCATGTTTAGTAGTAAGTTAGGTAGTCTTAAAAAAAGCTAGATTTCATACTTCTTTTAGTGTTGTATTCCTCTGAAAAGGAACTAAGTAAAACGGTATCTTGTTTGTTGGATGTTATTCTGCCTGTAGTCAAACCCAGGACACAAACATTTAATTTTAAGTGAAAACTAAACAGATTTTTAGCATTGCCTGAACCAGCGTGCCTCAAAGAAAATTATGTGTACAGCTTTCCCACTTGTTGAGTAAAAGATAAGCTTGCACAGCTCCAGAGATGCTTGTGACTTTTCGCAGTTTTACTGAAAATGGAGTTGCATGGCTTTGTCTTAGAAAACAATGCAAGGATGGGAGAGTTGTGCATATTTGGGAAGAAACATCTGATCTGAAAATCTGTTTCTATAGATAATGCATGTCATAGAAATAATACAAGTAATTTACTGGATTGGAAGTATTTTCTGAAGCAAAGTGGATATTTTAAGAATTCTCAGTAAACCTGAAAAGACCTAAATATTTTCCTAAGATTGGTTTTCGGAATGGAACTGGAATAAGAGCCTTTTTGAAGGCTTAAGCCAGAAATGGAAAGCTCTGACCAGTGTGCTTTTTCTTTGCAGAAAGAAATGTCCTGAAAAATTAGGTCAGCAAGGTTTAAATTTATTTTTACTGCAATAAAAAGACATTGGAGTATAGTGTTTAGTAAAAACTTCTTCCTTTCAAATCACAGTCTGATTAATTTTACTACTTGTTTTAACTAAATTGTTTTGGCCAAGAATTATTATTTTAAATAGGAACACAGAAGAGCAGAGTCTGTCTAACTGATCACTGTATAGTTGAATGTAAAACCAAAACTGACTGAGCTTTGTGTTTCTTGTTTTCTCACCCCAGAGAAGCAAATAGTTCTGGCTTAAGTGTGTATAGTTCCATGAAGTATTGTTGCAGCAATATGATTTTAACCACAGTTCTCTCTCTGCAGGGGGACACAAGCACAAATCCATATGGAGGATGAACCTCCTCCTTCCCAAGAAGTCAGTGTCAAGGTCAGAGTGTGAATTTCTGTTGAGAACTCAGTGTTGCTCTACTCAAAGGGAAGAAGTTGGCTTCTATTAAGCAGTAGTTTAGTACATGCTTATAGCTTTCAAGATAAATAGAAAACCAAAGGTAAAGGTAGAAAAATGATACTAGCAAAAGAAATGCTATTTATGTGATCCACAAAATATTAGAAGAACAATATATTCTTTTTAATGAGGTTGAATTGATCCTTTGGCTTACAAGGCCGGTTTAGTTTAGTATTGTTACGTGTTCCAGCCTAATGTTTCAACAACATAAACTTGTTAGAATTAACTTTTGTATCATAATTTGAAGCAAAAACTTCCTCCCATTTTAATCTTTTATTTCCTTTGAACACTCTGCATGTAAAACTTAATGAAACATCATTCAGATTTTGAGCTTAATGATGATGCCTTTTAAAGTGATCTGCATGACAAATAAAACTGAATAACCAGCTTTCAAACTGATTGCTGAGGTCAAATGAAGTGTAGAATTTCTAGGAATTCTTGAGGCATAACTGATACACCCTTGGGACAGGTAGCTGGACCATATGAAATCTCAAATTCTGGTTTAGCTCTTTCTTTCATGACTGTGCAATATAATGAGGGAACTGATCACTTATGAGACATAAATATTGACAGGCTGATAGTTCAAGCTGTTTTTCATATTTTGGGGACAAAATATAATGGAGAAATGTGGGAGGGGACAAAATCTTGAAAGGTGAGAAAATATCTCTTACTGAGTTGAATGTAAATAATAATTCCAGAGACAGGATTTAGATTATGGATATTTTGTATCTGATAACATTTGTTGTTATTTCTTTTGTTAAAAAAAAAAATCAGGATCACAAGTGTTTCCTTGGGTGCTTTTTATAACAGTACTTTGTTTTTTTTTCCTTCAGTGTAGTATTTTAGTGTTAAGAAATGCTACAGTTTGGGGTTTTTTTGACCTGTTAATTATGAGGGTGGAATATGAGTGCTCTGTAGTAGGATGTTACAGAAAAAACCTTTCCTATTTAAGATTAATTAATAGGTTCTGACACACTATGCATTTGGAATTTAGAGCCCACATTTTAAAGAAACTGATATGTTATTCCAGTAAGGAAATCTGTACAATTCAAGGACACCATGACTGTCCTTTTGAACCTGAGTCTTCATCAGTCTTGAGCAAAAGTAGGATGCAGTTTTGTTGATGCAATTGGAAGACTACTCTGTGATGCTTTCACTATCCATTATCATATTTTTAAAGTGCCTAAAATCCTCTGTAGAATTAATGCTAACCTCTTGACATAAAACAAATTGTTCTGTGAACAGCAGATAAATGAGCCCTGCTTCCATATAGATTCATGTCCTTCGTCACTTATAACCCTGTTATGTGTCATGGAGGACAGCATTTGCTAGGACTGGCTCGGACCTTTCTTGCTGATTTATTTCATAACAAACATGTCTGATTGTCCAGCTGCCTATTGCCAAATAGATTGTGTCAGCAGAATCTTATTTCCCTTTTACTTGCAAGATGGCTGAAATTGGTTAGTTATTTAGTGTGAGGAGATGGGGAAAGAACTGGTATGATCAAAACCACAGCTTTTCTTTAGGGAAGATGGCCAACCCTCCTTTTCCTTCCTCAGAATTATATATAAAAAAATGTGTGATTAACTGCAATTTGTTTAAAGATTTTAGTTCAGGATTAATTTAGGGATTATTTCTTTAGTTTTAAACATTATCTATGTTTATGTGTACATTTTTTTCATACTAAGCTTTTTAATCAAAAAAGCAGTATCCTTATGACTGACATAATATGCTTCAGACTTCAGACTAGAATTTATTCACATCTTTGTTTCAGTCAGAGGTAGAAAAAATAACGTTCTGTAACAGATCATTTTGTAAATCAGCTACTTGCTAGAAATAAACTAATGATGCAATTCTCAATGTTATGTGGTGAACTACACAGTGCTTGTAATAGGCAAAATCTATTTTTACTTGCGTTCTGATCTGACAAGTAACGCTACTTTTTTTTCACATCCAGATCCTGTTTTAATTTCAGTCAAGAACATTTGATGCATGCTCCATGCAAACTTTGCTATAAAATTTTGATACTGCAACATTTTTCTGATTTATGCTATACTAAAGTAGTAGAAACATTGCATGAGATTCAGACATTAGCTTGACTAGTTGTAATGTCTGGAGAGATCTTTTTTTCTTTTCCTTTAAATAAACTTGTCATTTGTCCTTGGATAAGCTGGAAAATGTTCAATCATCTTTTTTCTTTTATTGTATGTCTACTTACGGAAATGCAGATATTCTTAGGAAGTTCCCAAAGATTCAACAATTATTGAAACAGAAGTAAATTTCAGAAGTAAAGGAGAAAGAAAAAAGTTTCTCACGTTTTCTCAAGTTTCCATTTTCAATGCATGAAAACAAATGTGTATATTTTTCAAAGATAAGTATATTCTTGGGCAGATTTTTTAATGGTTTCTTCTTTTAACAGTACTATTTCTTCTTTTAACTTCTTTTAGCACCAGAGGAAAAGACACAAATTATTTTCAAGTTTTGAATGTATAGTTTACACTTTCTATTAGAATCCTGTACACTGAATTCTATAAGCTAGCAGTTATGTTGTATGAATGTAGTGAAAATACAATCTCACCATTTAACTTTTTATATAGTACTTTTCTCCTTGCATATAGATCCTTTCTTTCTGGATCATGATGTATTTTATTTGTTTATTTTAATTCTAGAACAAACCTCCCTCAGGGTATTGTTCTAGAATTAAAATAGTGGTTTGTGGTTTAAAAAGGAGATGGTGTTTCTCTAATTTTTTTACTTTTTGGTATGCAAAGGTATGCATTTCTCTCTGTCTAGATATTTTATATCATCTTTTATAACATCAGGTATTGGAGGCAACTTTATTGTCAGCCCTGAAGATGCTGGATGTTGGGAAATGGCCAATTTTTTCTCTCTGTTCCCAAGAAGAGCTCAAGTTAATTCGTCAAGCCTGTGTATTTGGCAGTGCTGGTAATGAAGTGTTGTATGCAACTGAAAATGATGAGGTAATTGTCCACGACAATGTAGTCATATTTAGTTATTTATATATCAAGTTGTTCTGAAAGCAAGTACTATGATCGTATACCTAGGAAAAGTTGCATGCAAAAATGCCTGATCGTTTTGATTGCTGCTAAAGCATTTTTAATTCAAATTAATGGCTTCCTACCACAATCAGAGCATAAAGGGAGATGGAGTTAGACATTTCTTGGAGGAGCATAGTGACAGGCTGAGGGGCAATGGACACAAGCTGGAAGATGGAAAATTATGATTCAGTATTAGGAGAAAAAATTAACGATGAGAATGTTTAAATCCTGGAGGGGTTGTGAGATCTTTTTCTTGGAGCTGTTCAAGACTCAATGGGACATGGCCTTGAGTCAGCTGATGCATTTAGATCTTTGTTGAGCTGGGGGTTGGACTAGTTGACCTTTGGAGATCCTCCATTCCAACCTAAATTATGATTTTGTGATTCTTTTATAACAGGTTTTTGTGCTTGGCATGAACTGCAGTGGGTGTTTGGGAACAGGTGACATGCAGAGCACTATTGAACCAAGGAGGTTAGATTCTCTATGTGGCAAAAAGATAGCCTGTCTGAGTTATGGAAGTGGCCCTCATGTTGTTCTTGCTACAGAAGGTAAAGTATGATCTGAATATTGCTTTTCAGATACATCCACTTTAATTAGTCTGGCAGATGTGAAAGGTCTGTGCTGGTAATGTAAGAGAGGAATTGGGATGGATGTTCTGGACTATCAAGTCCAACATATTTTCATTGGTGACTGACATATCAGCTAGCTCTGCTTATAGCTAGTTCTTTTCAAAAGTTTTTCAAGCTCTGCTTTAATCTTGTTGCTACTTTCGAAGGCTTTTTTTAAACTTTGCAGTTAAGTTTGGAACCTCTGATTGCTTTTGAAATGCATTAGTGGCTACATTATGCCTGTATATCCTTGTGCCAGCAATGCCCTTTAGCTAAAACACGTCTTTTCCCTCCTGTACCTAGTTTTGGATGTGCTTTAAAGACCAGTTATATTGCCTCTCAGACTTTTATTTTCTGTTGTCTCATTGACACACTATTATCCTCATCATGCGAGTGCCCCTTCTGTTCGCAATCAGGGACATTATCATCAAAGACAAACGACTAATATTGTGTTTCCAGTGAGGTCCTGTTAGAGCCTGACTGATGATGTTAAAATTTCGTGCTCTCTCTCCATTATTGAGGATAAATCTTTTTGAGTAGTCTAGATTAGATGACTAAAGGTAGGTGAGGGGAATTGTGTTGTAAATGTGTGACTGTTGTTTATATTCAATTACATTCCACCATTTTCTTCAGTCTTCAGGGTAAACAATTCTGGGTGCTTTTTATGTATGTATCTCTATTTTTCTGAGCATGTCGCTGGCAGATCCTACTGGCACGCTCGTACTCCTTACCCAGATGAAGAACGGAAGTATTGCAAAAGAACAGGTCCAGAACTGATCCTTGATGATTTTTAGTCTTAACTCCATTCACATTAATATCTTCCATTCAGCACAGCCTCTTCTAACTTGCCTTTCAGACAGCCCTTATGTATTGCACAATTCTTGTGTTAATTACTATAATTTCCAGTTTAAGTTGTATGTTTCTATGTGGCTGTTTCACCTGTTCACTGGAATTTTTATTCTCATATTGGTGAAACAAAGAAAAGGTTGTTTACTTTTGATAGAGTAAAGTAATCAGATTTAAGGTGTTACTGTAGAGAAATACTGGTTTAGTGTAGCACATTTTGCGTTTGTAGTTCTGAGGGATACCTTCTTAGGGATAAGGAGTTTGGTGATCTCTTTAGAAATCTGATGGAGTTGTATGTCAAACCTAGCTCTCCTGCAGTAACAGTGTAATTTAGGTTTAGAAGATTATGATGATGACAGACAAGATGAATGTAGGAAAGCTGTTCTTCAAGTCCTGCACTGCTCTAACTAGGGGATACTTGATTTAAAACAGATGAAAGAAAATGAATATGTAAAGGTGTTAGCTTCATGGAAAACGGGCCAATATATATACATTAAAGAGAACCAGAGGTACCTGGTAATATCTGTCCTCTAGTGACTGTAAATGCTTGGGAACTGCAAAAAGTGACCAGGCTCATGTTCCTCTTAAACAGTAGCTTCTTTCTGTTGCCAGCTGGAGGACAGAATTTTGCACTAGGTGAACCATCAGTCTTAAGACAGTGAGACATTTATTGCATTCTTAATTTCACTAGCACGTTTCTCAAAATACAGGACATGAATAGTACGTTTAAATAATAAGTAAATAATAGTATGTTTATTAATAAGTAATAATGAGTTTTTCTTACAAGCATCTTCATGTATGTCTTAAAGGAATAAAAGCTTATTATTTGAATTTTCCAAGGTGGGAAACAGGACATATTTTGATTGATTGTCAGTAACAAGGAAATTGAAATGTATACTCCTGACTGTCCTGTCATCCTTTTCTCTTCTGTATTGCACTGTCTCCTTTGTTTCAGCTAAATGATTTCTTTTACTAAGATTATGGTGATACTATCCTTCTGGATTTGTGGTCAACACTATGTGAATTGGTATGTTCATGGGCTTGAGAGTCCCAATGGGCACATGTGTGTGTGTGTATATATATATATATATATATATATATATACACACTCAAATATGTAAATTGTTATGGAATTTTACTTTTCAGTTTGTAATTTTATGTTGTGTACTCATTGGAAAAATAGAGATTTTAAACTAGCCTTTTACATTTTTATTATAGAAGGAGAAGTGTATACATGGGGTCATAATGCCTATAGTCAGTTGGGCAATGGTACAACAAATCATGGTTTCCTTCCCTGTCAAGTCTCTACTAACTTGGTGAACAAAAAAGTCATTGAAGTTGCCTGTGGCTCTCATCATTCTATGGTGTTAACATCTGATGGAGAGGTGAGAACAGCTGGAATAAATCTCTCTTTTCTCTTAATGATATTCATGCATGTGAGAAAAAAGAAAACATTCTGCACCTAGAGCATTAGACCTTGCTACTGGCTATCCTCAAAGAGCTGATGCAACACAAATGTTTGATGAAAATGGAAAACCTGTAAGGGTCTAGATGCTTTGAAGTGCATGCAGAAGATTGATTTGTGTGCTACATCTGCTTGTAATAAGAAGTTGTCATTTCTTTGTAGAGGGCAGTCAGTTCCTTCCTATGCTATACTGTAAATGCTTAATGGTGTTAAAGCTGGCATTAATATAAATCACATTCATCCAAGGAGTTTTCTGTTATTTGCTTTGAGGTGCCATTTATGTCCAGTTAGCCATTTTACTTTGGGTTCTGTAAAACTAGCAATGAATTCATCCAGCATTAATGCAACTGTCATGTTGCTCTTACCTTTGATTGGAGGAACATAAAAGAATGGAATATATAAATATTATGAGTGCTGTGTTTTTGATGGAAACAGTTAAATTGTAAACCTATGTATCTGCCTAGGTCTTTAAAAGAATACATCCATTTGAATGAAAAATGTAATTTTTTATGCGTGTAACTTTTTTCTCTCTTGAATGTGTACTTCGAACTGTTTGTTATATAGTGTTCTTCTACAACAATTCTCTTACAACAGGTGTATACGTGGGGTTACAATAACTCAGGCCAAGTTGGTTCTGGTTCCACAGCTAATCAACCAATTCCTCGAAGAGTTACCAGCTGCCTACAGAATAAAATAGTAGTGAATATAGCTTGTGGACAGATGTGCTCTATGGCTGTGGTGGAAAATGGAGAGGTAAAAAACTTTAAGTGAATTATCTGACTGATTTTGTTTTATGTAATATCACAGGATGTAGATAATCTCAAACTTGTCAGTAATGAGCTGCTACTCAGAAAAGTATGCCTTTCCAGAGTCCCTCAAATCTACCTGTTTATACTGCTTATAAAAACATTTGTCATAAATTGTCCTGCAAATTCTGACATACTTAAGCACATCTTCCTATCCATGCTGATTATGGTTTCTTCTTTAGAAAGCAGATAGAGCGAAACAGGGAAAATTGTTCAGTAACATTTGGTTTATGGCTTTTTGGTTTATGAGATTATTCATAAAATTTAGCAGCTCTTACTTTGTATCAGCTATTGGAGTTGTCTTTGAATTGAAGGAATTCAGATATCAAATTTCAAATTTACTTGAAAATACAGTTCTGAAGTAAAAATAGTATTGTGAATGTCAGGAGACTTACAAACTTTGGGATTAAATTATATTGAATCTATATATGTATACTTAGCACTTCATGCTAGCTTCATTTTCTCTATGTAAAAATAGCAGGTTTTTATAACTGATTTACTGATTTTTAGAGCTGGTGTTATAGTCTAGCAAAAATGAAAGTGCCAATTAATGCATTATCCCACTGCTCTTTAGCATTCATAGAAAAAAAATAAATACTGTCTATACTAGAGTCTTAAGTATCAAGAATGTGAGAATAATCAGTGAATGCTATTTTAATTTTCAGTGCTCATATATGCACACTTTATCTCAAGAGAAAATGGAGAAAATAAAGCACATTGCATATATTTGTTCTGTTGCAGTACTCCTTGAATCCCTCTCATACTTTTTCATCCTCATTGCAAAGATACAAAGGGGTTGTAGTATTCTTGTTTTAGTTCATATGACCTGAAGATTCTGGGTAGCTTACGTTCTCTCTAGATCCATTGCTCCAAGCATTTCAGTTTAGACCTAAGTAGCTATTGTTTGCAGTAGAACATATGTCAATGAAATTATCAGAGCTCAGTATTTTCTCTTTTTCTTATGTTCAGCACAAAGCTGTTAACAGCCTACTCAAACCGTTTGTCATAGCTTTCAGTTTATACTTGTTTTGGTGTGTTTTCTTTTCTGTTAGAGGATTTTTGAATGAGAAATTAGCTCTTTAAGAAAGGAAAGTATTCTTGCTGAATTTGCTCTGTGCCAGGAAACAGCCATATGAATCACTTATTTTTCTACTCTTCATATTAAAATATTGTAGTCTTACATAATCTAAGTCTTAAAGAACAACATGAATATGGAGATTTAGAATTTTAGATGAGCATGCAGTTGGTATTTTAAACAGAAGCATCATCCAAAATTTCTGGCACAGAAAACCATATACATGTATGTATAGATATATTTATGTATATATGTATGTTTATACAGGTGTAACTACATATCAAGTACAGATCCTAAGGTGTGGGGACAGGGAATATTGCAGAAAATTATTATTATAACTCTGAAGTAGTCATACTGCTTTTGAAAGAAGTAGTTAGTAGCAAAGAGTTAAAATCCCCGTCTCTGTTTTTAAGGTCTATGTCTGGGGTTACAACGGTAACGGCCAACTGGGACTGGGCAGCAGCGGCAACCAGCCAACGCCGTGCCGAATAGCGGCACTGCAAGGCATCCGTGTGCAGCGGGTACGTGTGCGGCGCTCCCTGTCGAACCCCGTATCAACAACTGAAAATATCCTAAGGTGTATTCTACATTTATAAGGGACAGTCGTTTATCTCTTTATTTGAAGTGCCATTTACCAGAATAAAAACAGGTATCTTAAAATGGACCTTTGTCAGTAGGGGAGAAACTGTGAGCCTGTGGAATTCAGTGGGAATTCTGCCATTGACTTCAGTGAGGTCAGGATTTTACTCAAAGACAAGTAGGGCATTAGAAATGTTTGGGTTTTTTTTTCCTGTGAAACTTAATTTTAAAAAAAAGTCCTGTTATTTTAGTAAATAAGAAAGTCTTCTTAGGCTACCCCCTTCTTTAACCCCTGTCTTCTTTTCTGGGAAAATGCTGTAGTTTAGCATTTCGTCTTTCTGCCAGACTGAATATCACTTTTAGAATTGCACTCCAGCCACGATGGCTAACCAGTGTTTGAAGTCTAAACAAATTGTCTCCAACTGCTTTTGGACAACAGTTGATATGATTCCATGGCTAGTTGATCTTGGGTCGTTACTACACTTTACTAAATAGCTGGGCTGTCATCATTGTAACTGTCAAACTGAAAACTTATTTTGACTGATAGGGAATATTTAAAGTAACCACAGAGCTCTGAAAGTTTTAAATTGGTTTATCCAAAATAGAGGATATTGTCAAGAAAATGACAGATTCTGCTAGAAAACATTGGTTTGTAACCTAGTGAAAATTACAAGTGTGGTTTGAATTCTGTATCCTATGTAATAACATTTACTCAGGGAAGTTATGGATTTTATAAATATTTTAAAATAAAGTAATTTAATTACAGAGTTTTACATTCAGTTTCTGGGATGTAGACAGTAGCTTTGCTAGTAACAATTGCTGTTGGAGAATAACATAAAGTGAATATTATTTTCCCCTGTGTTTATTCACCTGTTTAGAGAGTGTGGGTGCTCCAGTAAGTTTGACTTATTTACTATTGATTTAGTTACTACTTCATTTGCTTGATATCTATTAATACCAAGTTATAAACCTCCAATCAGTTATTTAATTTATTTAATTTAAAGCACATCACATGCTTTAATTTGATTTAAAGGATTTATTTAATTTAAAGCACATCACATGCTTCATGGATATCAATGGACTACATGTACTTATGGTATATCCGCTTTGCGGGTTATATGAAGATATGTGAGCTAGTTTTGAACAACATCAGTGGGTTATTGATAGCCGTCTAGCTATAACAGGTTACATTAACTCATGCAGAGCAAGACCCTTGCTGTTAATTTTGTCACTGTGTATCTCTATGTGCAGCATGTGCTGCATATATAGATTGTAAAGTGGGTATTCAAGCACTAGAGCTGACACAGGGAGAGGACAGTTCTGTGTGGCTGGCAGTCAGGGAGGAGAGGAGCAGCCTGGGAGACCTCGCCTGTTTTCACAGTGGTAAGCTATTCATGTTGGAGCAGTTGCCCATAGAGCAAGGTCATTGTGGGACAGATGATCTGCCTTTTTTTTCATTTTTTCTGCATACTGTTCAAATTTGTCATATAGCTTTCCTTTTTTTTCTCAATTTCTAGCTATTCTTTTTCTGTACTCTTGAGATGATCTGGCAGGGTTTGTCACTAATACATTTTTTTTTCCTCGGTGTCACCTCATCTTTTTAATAAATGTATCTGTATTTGTAATTTTTGTACTTTCTACACTGGTATAGAATCAATAACATTAATGTATAGCAGAACATGTATCTATCTATATTAACTTACTGTTACATAAAAATGAGATTTTTCTTTTTATTATTCCTTATAGGTTGCCTGTGGCTATGCACATACATTAGTGCTAACAGATGAAGGTCAGATTTATGCCTGGGGAGCCAATTCATATGGCCAGTTAGGTACTGGAAATAAAAGTAACCAGTCTTACCCTACAACAGTTATTGTGGATAAGGACAGGTAATACTTAACAGTCTTGCAGTCAGACACTAGTTGGCATACCCTCAGAAGAGCTACAGAAAATTATGGCATTTTAAATCTTCTTTTTTTAAGAAATAGCCTATAATTTTTTGCAGTGGTTCTTCTGCTAAATGTGAATGGGATTTTCACTGAAAGTGCTTGAATCCTCCCCATAACTATCCTTGTGAAAGAGAAACTGAATGTTCTGAGCCTGAATGTGCTATTTTCTGCTTCGGCTCACACTGTACTTTATAGGTCTTAATTGCAGTTTCTCTTCAGTGGTGTGGTTTCATTGTTTGAAGTCAACAGTAAAAGCTTTATTGTCTCTGAATATATGTTGTCTTTTAATATGCTACTTTTGACAAGAAGTACACACAGAAAAAGTGAAGAGTGGACATCTGCAATTCATGCTATTTCTGCTATTAAATCTGGCTCATAACCCTGGAGAGAGAGAGAAAGGGAGGAGTCCTTTCTCAGTATTGTTGCCTGAAAATTAAGCTTGGATTTTTACAAGTTAAATATTTTCCTGAGTCCTTGATGGGTAATGGGACAGTTATTTCTGTTGCTAATGTATATGCCATGTATATATGTGGCCAGAAATTTGAACCTATTTCTTACTACTGAGGTCTTGATTTTGGCTTCCTGTTGTGAAAAATAAAAAAGTGAGATGTCCGTCTTAAACTTGTGTCTGTGTACATTATTGTAAGGAAGAGGCAACTCCTCTCTGGTGATGAGACATGGCTCTTTTTTGAATGTTGCTGTGTCTTTATGTGTGTGCTTTTGCTTAAAATGTAACTGATTTTTTTCTAGACGCTTTGGCTGCAGATTAAATTTAACCACATTTTCATACCAGTTTTAATGTTGTATGCTTCCTTTCCCTTTTCTTGGCCAGAATATGAATTTCTGGTGTCAGTATTACTTCACTAAAGCCTGCAAGATTTGTACATATGGCTTTAAACAAGTTGTTTCCTAGCTATTTTCCCCAGGCAGCTGGGAAAACAAGTAAACAAGTGGCAGTTCAGACTGCAAAAACAGTGGATTGTGTAATGTTGTACGCAGTGGGAGTTTTGAAATCCTAGGATTAGTGAGATAGCCTAACATAGTGAAAACACACATAGAAACAGCTCTTAGTGCTGTTTGGTTCTAATTTTTAATTTTCAAAACGAAAGTCCATTAAATGTAAGTAATAATAATTGTATGAGTAATGACAGTTCAGTAATTTAAGTAAAAGAAGTATGGTTGAATTGTTGCTTTGTAACTTACCAAAAAGCAATCAGGAAAAAGATTTTCATTAACATTCAATTATAAACCAAAATGCAAGTGGGTTGGGTTTTTTTTGGTTTTGTTTTTGTTTTAAATACCTCTTCATTTTCTCATTCCCTTCTTCATCTTCTGCAAGTGCCTGTTCTCTACAGCACTTGCCTCACCTGCTCAGCATCACTGAGGACATTCAGAGACATGAAACTCACCATAACTTTCTTTGAGGGAGCCAAGGGGTTCAGTAGAGCATGTGCTGCAGCAGGTATACTGCTCTGCTGCAACAGTGTCTCCTCACTCTCAAGATGCTTTTTCAATGAGAAGCTTTCACGCTATTTGAAGAAACGTTGATAACCCTTTTAATTTTGCTATGTATGATCAGAAAACATTTTTGCAATTGGAAGCACGTGCATGCTTACAAATATCTTTTGCACCAGATAAAGACAGGAGGTAGTGAGCTGCTTCACTGCATTTTGTTCTTATGAGAGTGACTTGCTTTTTTTCTTTCTTTGCTTGTAAATTCAGAGTTATAGAGATTGCAGCCTGCCACTCTGCTCACACATCAGCTGCCAAGACGCAGAGTGGCCAGGTGTACATGTGGGGCCAGTGCCGTGGGCAGTCCGTGATCCTTCCCCACCTCACTCACTTTGCCTGCACTGATGATGTGTTTGCTTGCTTTGCTACCCCTGCTGTTATGTGGCGTCTTCTATCAGTAGGTGAGCTTAAATATTTTTTTGTTTTACATCTTTTAAAGAGAATCATTTGAGCATAAAACAGTTGCACATATTTGAAGCCTAAATGTAGTTTCTTGCAAAAATTTATACTGGGAAGCATAATCATAATCATACATCATATATATGTAAATGGTAATATGGAATTGTAAAAATTACTAAGGCCTGGTGGCAGTGCTAAATGATTGTCTGTTTTATTGATGTAGTTTATTTCTGGGGGGAAATGCCTTGGGTTTGGGGATGTGGTTTTTTTGTGTAACCACTGAATGTTACTGTACAATGGCCAGAGGTGAAGCTGAGTTTGAATTTGGAGACTTGAGGGAGCCATGCAGAATGTTTAGGAACTCTGAAGCTTTCTTAGATGCCCTTAAGTAGACTATTAAGAATTGAGGGAGCCAAATTCACATGTTCAGAATTGGCCACAGGCACTTGGAGTCTCATCACAAGTGATCATGACCTTGGCTTCTGAAGAGACAAGTTGCAGTCAGGTATTTGATTAACATTAAAGTGTGTCTTGCTCGCCTTGACTATCCAGAGTTAAGTATATAGCACCGTCTAACAGAGAGCTCATTCTTCAGCTACAAATTCAGTTCCATATTGGTTGCTAATAAAGTTACTGTCTTTGCTGACCTAATCAAAGATGAGACTTGGTGTTGTCTGTAGCTGTCATCTGGGAGCTTAAGCTAAAGGCTAGAATGCAGCAACTTGTTAATTTGTAATTTAAACTGTACTGAGTCCATCATGTTTCCATTCCATTTCTGTACTGCCTTTGTAATTGCTTTTGTGTTGCTGTATGCTTTTTGTCTGACAATTGTAGAACACTCTTTGCTCCCTTGGTGCCTTCTGCATGCCAAGGTAAGGAAATCTGTTAATAGTACTCATATTTCGGCTTTGATGGGCTAGAGAATTAAATGGAGAATCCTGTTCTCAGGAAACTTCTTTGACAAAATTCATGTTTTAAGGCACAGTCCAAATACCCCCATTTTCTCTAAGTTGAGGCAGTTGTGTTTTCTAGGGCATCTTGCTCAGAACTGTAAAATATATGCTTAATTACTATGGAAATTCTTAATGTTCCTAATATTTGCCTACTTCTAATTAGATGTAAATTGTGTAACTGCACTAAAATCCCAGGCAATGGACAAGTTCATTCCATATAAATACGTGTTTGTCAGCTCTAAGTCCTACATAAAAGTATCTGTAGCATGTTCAGATTTTTCTTCCATAAGAACTGGTTATTTTATGAAGGAAATGGGACATTATTAGGATATGTAGCTTAATCCTAAATTCAATTACGTGTATCTTCTTACATACTTTAGCAGGGATCTAGGGCTATTCAGCTTCCATTTCTTCTTGCCCCATTAAAATATTACTTCATGCTGTCAGAATTTCCCCTCCACTTCTCATGCATTTTCTTCTCAGTTTAGTGCAGAGTATTGAGGAATTTTTCAAAGGAGCATGGAGGAAGGCAAGAAGCAAAAACTGCTTCTTTACTTAATTTGTTCCTCACAGAGAAGACGACTGCTTGAGTGAGACCAAAACTGTCTTACATTTTTTCAGTGCTCCTTTTCTGCAAATTCACCTTTCCTTATCTTCTTTTACAAGTGCTGGTTTAGGTCAGAAATGCTGTTTAGGTCAGCTGAAAGAGTCCTGAGTGGGATTATATATGATCATTCATGTAATTATCACCTTTATGCTGAAGACTTCCAAGTAACCCATTTATTAATAAGCACATTGCTCATTAATACTCACAGATATTCACTGTCTTTGAGAGAGCGTGGTTAGGACTACATTCAGAACTATTTCCCAACACATCTTTTAATATCCTCACCTTCATTGTCACCGTGATCAATACACCCCACCTCCTTGCACTGCTTCACAGTTAGGGAGTAATTTTGGACTGTAGCAGCTACTTTTGGTTTTTGACCTTGACTTCTTTGTCCTTTTGGTAATAATGTTGCAAGAGTGTAGCAACATTGTACCAAAGCACAAGGTGAAAACTTAGAGGAGTAAAAGGTTATTTCATTTTAAAACAAAACTATAATAATTTCAGATACACTTTCAAACCCATATTCTCATATGCGCCAAGCGGCCTGTCCAGCATCCTGGCACTAAAATGTGTGTATTCAGGTGGTCTGAGCAGAGTTCCTTGTGATGACACAGGATAAAGGATGCTGGCTGTCATGTCTCCTCTATTCCTTTTAGTTTGGTGACTGCTGATTTTGGATGTGCCTTTTTGCACACTGAGAGTGACTAGTCTCTTCAAGATGTCCCACCTTGATGAGTTGTCAGTACTGACTCACTGTTGTTCAGCTTCTGATCTATGTGTGGTGAGAATCATCAGGCAGCTGCGTCCTAGAATCTTAAAATCTGCTGAACTAGGTGCCATGGGCATCTGCCATGCTTACAGCTCTGTCTGTTGTATCCTGGTGCTTCCATACCCAGGCATTCCCATTCATTCCCCATTTGTGGCAGTTCTAACATTTCTATTACAGTTCTTAGCACTAACTGCTGAAGAGTTTTCTTGTCTTTGTGCTTTGTCAGTATGAACTGCCTCTTCATTTCTTTCTCTGGTTCCCCCTTGACTGCTGTAACAAATAAAAGCACCTATTTTCCCTCTTAAGAATTTTGTAACTGAACCCCACTATATTCAGTTTACGTCTGCTGGCTGTGGAAGTCTTCTGGAGATATGTATTGGTAGAAAACTGAATTGCCAGTTAACTTTGAAGAAGAGATTCAGCTTTGCATTGGATATCCACTTATTTGGATAGCAGAGGTCTGAATAAATAAGTCACATTGTACAAAATAAGAATCAACAACGTATTTTGCAGTATCGTTACTTCAGAAGGGTTTTTTGCTATCATTACATTGGGTTTCTCCCCCTCCCTCTATCCTCTTGCCTGTAATCCAGTGCATGATGAGATATACATACATATGACACAAGCAGGAATATGCAGACATTCACACAGAGTGCTTCTAACACCATAAGTCTAGGGAAAACACTTTTGAATAGACTTCTAGCTGTTGGTATTTACCTTTAGAGACATTGTACTGGGCAGTTTCACTGCAAACAGTATCTTGGTTATGTAATAGCTTTATTTCTGCTGTAAGATGTCTCCTCATGGGAGCATTTGAGAAAGTCTTATTGTGATTTTTTTTTTTATTGACCTCTTAAGTATCTTATAACTAATATTTTTCACTAGGAATAATTTACTCAGTAATAACTGATAATATTTACTATCACATGCAGCATTAAACTTCTGAGACTTAAGGTTTTTTTTCTGGCCTTATATAGATGAGTTAGAGGAGTGGGACTTTTTTTTTTTTTTAATAGGGATATTTGTTTGAAGTAGGAAACTAGTAAGGACTGAAAAAAGCTGCTCTTTATTTGTTTTTCTTGAGGGTTCATACTGAACACATAGTCTGCTGGGGTTTTCTACTAGCCTTCAAAAGATGTATTTATTGAGTGTTAATTGCTGACAGATACCCAGGATGTTATCATGAGAGATACTTGTATTACTGCTTACTATTCCCCTTTTTATTCTAGAGCCTGATGACCATCTAACAGTAGCTCAGTCACTAAAGAAGGAATTTGACAACCCTGAAACTGCAGACCTGAAGTTTCTAGTGGATGGAAAATACATTCATGTGCATAAAGTTCTTCTCAAAATTAGGTAAGGCACAAACTGTTTAGATAACACCACTTTACAGTGAGATTTGACATACACAGTTCTACAGAGTAATCACATTGTTATTAACATGCAGTGATTAGTTTGTTCTTGCTCACACAGTTTCTACTAGGATATTATAGAGGCACTGCTTACACATCTCTTCTGTCTTGCTAACTGCTTCATCCTCCTTATTGTTCCAATATTTTTATTCTCTTTGCTTTTTCTTTCTCAAAATGATTGGCTATCTCATACTGCTTATCACCACTTTCATCTTCCTACATTTATTCCTGTTAGTGATTTCTTGTATATTACTGCATAAAATTAAAATTCCTTGTTAATTCTTGCCTGCCCTTTTTTTTGGCCTTTTCTGTTCTCCTCTTACTACTCCAATTACCCATATTACTATTTTCTTCCCTTTGCTGGTTCCACTGCTTGTGCATTACACCCATGCCTATAGTCCACCCTTTGTTTAGAATGCCACATGCCCTTCATCAGATACTGCTTCAAATCTTGTGTATCCCCAAAATGTTTCTGAGGGTCTTTTTCCTGATAATCAAACTACATGTATCTTTGCCTTATTTCTTTTTTCTTGCTCTACTTTTCTCAGATTATATGGTATTTTGGGAAGGATATGTGCCTAATTCTAAAATGGATTTAAATGTATGACGTTATCAAAATAATATGCAGGAATAATAAAGCATCAGGCACAACCTGTAGAATTAATATGTTCTTTAAGCCTTATAGTCTCATGATGCAGCTGGACCAGAGTAGGATCTATTTAACATGATGTTTTGCAGCATTCAGCTTGTTCCAGAGCGTTGTCATAAATGCAGTGCTGGTAAAAGTTTTTTTTTTCATTATCCAGTCATTTCTTTACTTCTTCTGAAGACTTTTTTCCATCTTGTTCTGTGCCTACTGTTGAACTAGATTGTACCATTGGTGGTCATTAGCTTACAATGGTGGTGACATGGCTGGGCAATGCCCAGCTGGGTGGGGCTCGCTGAGGAACATACTGCCTGCAGAAAGAGATACGTATGAGTCTGTGGGTGGGATTCATCAGCTCTGCGTTTAGCCAAAATTAGGTGTCTGGTCTCTCTACTGAGAGAGAGAAAGAGACAGAGAGAGGCACTCCAAAGGATAAGTCACTCCAAGGTACTTTGGAGATTGAAGGATGAGTATCAACTGATTCTTATTTATTTACTTATTTATTTTTAAGGGAGCAATGTGCACCACCTTCACTGTGACTTTTTACTTTCGTGTGGTGCCACTGGGGCAACAGACCATTCCCAAGGTCTGTTCCATAGCTGGATGGATAACGTGGTTGCCACCACTTAACATGAGGCTCTGGGAGACAAAGCAAAAGGGTTTGGTCTGGCTCTTCCAATGCAAGAATGTGGTACAAGGGGTGGCAGAAGCTAGATACTGACTTAATTCTTTATGAATTTGACTTGATGTTTATTTATTTTATTTTAAAAAATACTAAGAATAAAAATTTTTTAAATAAGCAGTAAAATAAAATGTGGAAAAGGTAAATTAAGTGATAAATAATTATATTTGTATTGAAATTATGCTGTCTTTATGATGTAGACTTGTCCCAGCATCATTAAAAGGAAACCAAACTACATTTTACATAGAAGTTTTAGTAAAAGAAAAGCAAATGCTGATGTGGGAGAGTTAGACAGTAAATACTGTAGCATAAAAGAGTCAAATTAAGTTGTGGCTATCATCTGAGGTGGTGATGTTAATTTCCATCAGCAAAATTTTGAAAATAATTAAAATGTTACAGGATGCTTTTTAGGGAGCAGTAAGTTACAGTGAGTTGTAAGTTACAGTGAACTCTTAAGTTGTAGAGTACAGCTATCAAAGCCAGTGATTTTTCCTTGTTTGTATATTGTCAGTCACAAATGTATTCAGACTTGTAAGAAAAAGGTGATGAAAGATCCGGGTGAGAGTGTCTTCCCTTTAAATATTTTAATCCTTGAGAATAATGATTACATCCAGTGCTAAACTGTGTATGGACTCTGACACTGAAATAAGTGTTATCTAAGATATTAATGAATTCCCTCCTCCCTAGATCATGCTGGAGAAAGCAGGTTGAAATGTGAGAATTGTCTAACTTAATTGTAAACTTTATCTTTTATAAGCCAGGTAATAAAATTTATAGTTAATGTATAACGTATTCAAGAAAATAACATCAAAACCACATGGACCATCCTTAAAGATATTGTAAGTAGAAGGAAAATTCTGAATTATATATATAAGGCTTAAAGAAATAAAGGTGTTCAAACCAAGAAATGTTGTAGTGAGTTGATGGTTGTGTATTTAGACTGTTACCACTGCTGGGTTTTGTTTATTTTTACAAACTTCTTGCTGAAGCTCATCTTTCAAGCTTAACTCTTTACAGTATATAGCCTTTGTCCATGTTTTGTAGGTGTGAACATTTTCGTTCCATACTGAATAACGATGATGAAATTATAGAAATGAGCGAATTTTCTTATCCTGTTTACCGAGCCTTCCTGGAATACCTGTACACAGACAACATTAGGCTCCCTCCTGAAGATGCAATAGGTATTTGCCATAAATGGAAATAACTGTAGGTTACTGTTTCTGAAAAGTTCAATTTGTGTGTCATAACGGTGAAGAAAGCAGAGCTTGCTTATTTTAGTTTTATTAGCACTTTCTGGCAGGTGTCAGGAAGAAGGGATGCAGTAGCAGGAAACATGCTCAAGGAGAATGAGTGGTGGGAATGCAGTAAGATGAAAGATGCAAAATGTTCAAAAAGAACTCATTGTTTCTCATATTAAGAACTTTTTTCCTTAAAAAGGCACTAATGCCATCCTAAAACTTTTCTGTTTGAGTAGCTGTGGTGATTTGATCATGAATGAAAAAGGAGCTGTTCCCCATGTGCATTTACGAGGATATAAATCCCTAATTGATACCTAGAATGAGATACAATACAGGGAACAAGAAGACAGAACACTTGAAAAGTAATAAAAGGGTCCCTCCTTGATACATCTTTTGAGGACCTTCAAAAACATACACATCATCTAGGGAAAAAACAGATTAATTCATTCATAGGGAAAAATTGATTAATTCAGCCTAAATCAATAGGGTAGTTGATTAATTTGAAAACAAATTAATATGTTGTGCACCAGGGTAGTTAAAGCTCTATGAATTTTCACAGGACTGCTAGATTTGGCGACTCTGTATAGAGAAAACAGATTGAAGAAGCTTTGCCAGCAAACTATCAAACAAGGCATTTGTGAAGAGAATGCCATTGCTCTTCTTTCCGCCGCTGTCAAATACGAAGCTCAGGTAAGAACTTGCCAGGCAAACAGTTGTTTTCTGAGAAATGAAACTGTTTATATTAAGCATAACTTCATTTAACTGATGGGGCATGATTAGGACAGTTCCCTTTTCTGTCTTCCCAGATGTTTGAAAAAAAAAAAAAAAAAAAAAAAAAAAAGCAGCTACTAGTGTTTTCTTCCTGGCTGTTTGGCTTGCACCTGTGAGTCAGGATTCTTAATCTGCTTCCTGCCTTGTCATCTAGCAAGGCATGGCATGCAAATTTCTCACTGCAATTTACCTCTTCACCTTTGGATTTTGCATTGCTTGTTCACTTCCCGAGTTCTCCACCTGATCATTTTTCCTGCCAGTGTCTGGTACAGTCATTCTGGTACTGCCTTTTACAGGCAGTGGCAGAATTTACAAGCAAAGTCCCTCCATGTTTACACTTGTGCTTATATAAAAAAATCCACTTTTGACATGTTGTTTACAATGAATCATGCTGACATGCAACTAATTACCTATTGTTATTCCTCTCCCCATATCCTGTCATCTGGTCTGCCCTTGGCTCTGGAATGTTTCACTAGCACTCAGCCTGTTATCAACAATACTGGAAGCGCTTTTTTTGTAAACAGACAAATGCTTTCAAAGATGTTTTCCTTTTCTCAGCTTCTTAGTGCTATGCTGATTGTGGAAATTATGATGTGGTGGGTTTTATTATTCAAGACGTCTGCATATGTATTTTAGACTTAGTAGCCGTTGTTATAACTGAGCATCTTAGCTGAGGAGTCATCTTTCCGTTCAAGGGTTCTTCTGCTTTACAAGAATAAAATGAATATAGACAAACAGAAGATTACCTACTAGAAGAGCCATAATATGTAGGCTGGAAAGAAGTCAGTGAGGTTTGTAAATTGAAAGAGGGGATAACATCAGATTAGTAGATAAGAAGATTATCAGCTGCTGGTTGCAAGGCTGTTGTAACCAAGGTGTATCGGTAATGGAAGGCATGAACAGCTGAGGCAAAGAGGAACTGTATTTTTCATGTGTTGTGGTGGTAGAAGCCCAGCATATCAGGGAAGACTGGACAGGAAGGGAAGATCCCATAATTTGATTCTCCTAACAGTAGAAGTTTTCATTAGAAGTTTACTCTGGAGTTTCTCCTCTTACAAGCTTTTCAACAGTTTTGAACATCTTCAAAGCAGAAGTACCTTTAGTTGACCTGTGTCAGGTGAAGTAATTAAAGAATAGTTAAAGATACATCTAGGTGTATTGTGAAGTACTAAAACTGGCCTGGACAAAGTACTAGAGTTTATAATGGCTGAAACACAATAAAAGGGATGGGCTAGGTGACTAAATATATGTTATCTTCCTCTTCCTTCTGTGCTTCAGTATACCTAGTATTCTTTCAAAACAAGTAATACTTTAACATGGTCATCAGGTGATGCATTGGTTCACCTGCCCCAGGTGCAGCATGTGCCAAACTCAGGAGTACACTGTTGCCCTTCTCCCTACATCCACAGCTCAGAAAGGGCTATAGTAGAACTGCTTCAGAGGAGCACAGCAAGGACTTCTTTAACAAAGAAGTGGGACAGTCTCTGTCTAAGGAATCATGAAGTAAGACAGGATCATTTAGTGTACTTTGTTAATATAGTTAAAAATTGGTTTGAGAACCATGTGCAGTGTATCAGGACTTCAGTAGAAAACTGTCCAAAGAAGGATTATGAAAGAGGCCTGATCTTTTTGAAGTTTCAAAATATAGAATTAATTACATTTTTTTGTCATTAAATGTGAACACTACAAGTGAAAGTTTATAGTGTTGTCATCTGCCATTAACATATCAAATTAATTGAAGACTGACTTGGCTACTGTATGCATCTGTTACGATTAAAAATGTTTGAAAATATTTTGTCCTATCCTGAGAAAATATAAAGTGTTGCTTTTTAAAGCATATTTCTGATATACACTAGCAAATGTTAGATTAATCATCTTCTATGTAACAGAATTAAAAGCCAGTATTTCTTGAAACTGCAAAATTAGTGACCAGGAGTCTATGATATCTATGGACCTCTTCATGGATCAGTACCAGAAAAGGCAGCTGTTGGTTTTATTTAGTGTAAAAATTCACACACTGACTGTAAAGCAACTCGTGTTCTGGCAGTAGCAGTTCAGAGGACTGCTGAAACTTAAGCTGTCATTGTCTTTGGTCTTCTCCATTTTTTATTTCTTCTTCTATTCTCATTCATTTTATTGCTTTTACAGTACTTTTTGATGAGAGATACAATTTACTTCTGTGCATTGTTGCTACCTTATTTCTTTTTAAAGGATATTTTGTGATGTTTGGCCTCTGTTAAAACTCTAGTTACACCTTGACAGGGGCAATAGACTTCAAATATGAAATCTAAGGAAAAGGTTTCAAAAGGAAATGCACAAGTATTCTGCTAAATTTCTTTTTACTAATTAATCCCTGGCTGCAATGTTTGTACAGTTAACAGAATTAAACTGACATGGATTAAGAGACCTCTTTTTGCTGTAACCCTTGAAGAGTTTATAGATCACGGCTCATACTGTCAATTTAGACTTACCTTGCTGCTGGCTCCAGCTCTGCTTGCTGCAGAAGGTAAATAATTTTCTTTCACCAGCAAGTTGTTGCATAGGAACCAGCTGAAGGGGATTGACCCAGTGCATGGAGAGGATTGCCACTGTTGTGAAGCATTTGAGTGGGCAAAATTTGCTGTGTGAAATCATGGTTGTATGGCTTAACGGCTTGTACCTATCCTGTGCTGAGTATCTGAGCAACCTCTTACAGCAAGACCCGAACGAAACAACCACTTTTGCTATCTAGGAGTTCCAGTTCCTAGGTAGGGGGGTCACAATTCCTAGGTTCACCATGAAAGACACATGTATCCTAGCACCCAGTATATGCTCTGTGAGCATTATCAAATGATACATTATATTTTGCATCAAATGTAACAACAAATATTACAACATATCTTCTGTTTTTCACAGGACCACTACTTAGTGCAGGAAGGAAAATAAAAAAGTTATGAATGCTCTAGTATGTGGGCAAGTTTGATGGTTTCACTTATTAATAACTTTTCTCATGAGCTCCGTAAATGTGATGGAGTTCTACAATTCATTTAGATGGCTACTCCTGTTTTCTCGGAAGGGGGTTTATTGAATAGTTTGTATGAACAAAATTCACTCTATCACTTGTGATCTAATCAAAATGATCAGAAAAGGGATTGGTAATGTGACCCATCTGGTAGATTCTCTGCTAATTAAGTGGCAGATTTGAAGCAGAAAAACAATAATGATAATTTTTCTGTCATTCATATTACAAATTATCTTACTTTGTTCCTAGGACTTGGAAGAATTTTGCTTCAGATTTTGCATAAATCATTTAACTGTTGTTACACAAACTCAAGGCTTTGCAGAAATGGACCACGATCTCCTGAAAAACTTCATTAGCAAAGCAAGTAGAGTGGGAGCATTCCGAAACTGAGGTCTGACTACCACCAAGCTGAAGAGCATGTCCTCTTCCCTCCTGGAAATACTTCTGCTTTGGAGAACTTATCCACGGTCAGAATGAGCAAAAGTTTGGAAACACTGACTCTGTCCATCAGCTTAGGAAATGTATAAAAGTCTGTTAACATAGAGGTTTTATAAAGATGGCTACAGCATAGGTGGATGGTGAGAGTTCATTGCCAACAGTCAGAATTTAACAACAAAAATCTAATGCAGTAACTACCCTTTCCCACTTAAAAGTCAAGCAAACTAAGCTATCGTTATCTTGTCTGTCTGGTTTCAGTTCCTTTTTTTTTTTAAACATTTGGGTTTAAGGGGACAGTGACCTGTTTGCTGCTAAAACTTTCATAGTATACTTTTATCACCAAACTAAGTTAATATGCCATAGTGGACTTCTTTGTGCCTGGTTTAACATCTGATGAAAATACAGACTTGTTTTTTCTGAATATATGATAAAGTAATAAATTCTTTAGGATGAGAGGCTTTCTGATTGGTAGGAGATGTCTCACTTGATGATGTTTATTTGGAGTATAAATACATAAGCCCTGAAGAGCTTCAGCTGGATATTACAGTTTTGAGTTCCTGGCACTTGTGTCCATTGTTCTAGACAGAATGAAAAAAAAATCTTCCTTTCCATTACACCAAGAACCTTCTCCGACACCCCAATGGGCCAGGAAGCATTCACAGTATTTGTCTGGATGTGTATTGTGCTGTGTGTTTTGGTACTCAGAAAACTGTCTGGTTGCTTGTTACCAAGAAAAATAAACCCAAACAAAATCTCAAGGAAGGGGAAATTCCACTTGAGGTTTGTTTATTCCTGTTTCACTGTCTATCCCCAGATAAATTATCTTAAGAAAAACAGAGAAAAAGTTTTGAAGGGATAAAAAAGGGTCTTACAGTTAAATCATGAGCAAAACTCCCATTATTTTCCATGTGGCAATAAGGACACCTTGTCCAAATACATTGTTTCAGGTTCTCCTTTGGTCAGTGCTGTGAGGTGACCATACCCCTTACCTTACATGCCCGGTTTAGGTGAGAGTTGCCCTCTGGACATGCCTCTCTCTCATCGTGGACCATCAAGGGCACCACATGGCTAAGGTAGAGTAGATGCTTAATTTCTAACTGACTGAAGTGAGTTAAGATGAAACCCTGCAGAGTGTTGCGCAGAGGGAGGTTTGCCCCATTACAGAAGATGCTGAGCTCGTGAAGCATTTACTTGAATTTTCAAACAGGCAACTGTGAATTAACCCTGGGAAATTATTTTTCTTAGAATTTGACTAGGTGCAGTGGCTTTAAGTGCCTTTTGTAGTATTTTATAAATGGAGAAGGCAAGAAGCCAGGTGACTAGGCTCAGTACACTAATATAATTAGTCATGCAACCTTCCTTTAGATCCTTGCTGTGCCGCAGAATCCTTCAATGACTTTTTCTAATCCTCAAATGTGGTTTTTAAGAACCTAATTCCCTTAAATGATCGCAGCCTCATTTCCTCATTTCTGAAGTAGAAATAACTGTTCTTTATTATATTGGAGGATCATTCCTCAAACAATCCTGTTCCCTGAGGAGTAAAAGGAGAAGCACTTCTTCAGAGAAGATGAGTAGTGGTGAGTAGTGCTTCTCTTCACATCAGTCCTGGCAGGTGTGAGTGGAAGGGTGAGGCATGCAGACAGTAGAATTCACTTAGGAAGAAGACCATAAACAAATTATTTTGGAAAATGCTGTGGTAAAAAAAAATGTGTGAGCCATTTGCCTCAGATGCTCACTAGAAAGATATTGGATCATCTACTGCTAATAAACATGTTCTGCCACCCCCTCAGTGACTAGTACAACTTCCTCCAGCAGCATAAGTCTATACTTCAGCGGCTGCGTCAGTATTTTGTATTCAAATGGAACTGGTCAAAAACTTGCCAGTATATAATGCAGTTTCACCAAAACCACAACTTCCTTGGGGGCTGAGATCAGTTTTGGTAGGTTTGTGTTGAATAGCACTTGACTCAGGCACACAGATAGAGGATAATGCTGACAGTAAAACAGTATCACAGTAGGGCAAAACTTTTCTGCAAACTTTATATGATATAGCCCAGCACTAATAATGCCAAAGCATAGACACACGGCAATTCTACATAAGCCAAGGCTGGGGAATTCCACATGTTTTGGTTAAGCCAGGGATGGCTGAAGTCTCTGCCCCTTTCCGTCCTGGGCTTAAAAATTGCCAGATTCACCTGCCAGCATTTTCTTAGCTGTAGCAGCACAAAGAGGTTGCACCCCCATGGCCCAACCTTAGGATAGCAGCTTGTAGGGGATCCTGCCCCACGCAGGGCCCTGTGCTGGCTCACAGCCTCCCTAGGAAATGGAACCAGGTGGGCACCTTTCAGTTTTTCAGTTACTCAGGCCCTCCCAAGAAACATACTATAAAACATGTCTCCAAAAGTTTCTGTTGCTTTACTTAACCAGACCAAAACCATAAATGTGAAATTACTGTTTTTAACTCAACATCTGATCAAAATTCTTCTCTGCTCTGTGAAGAGCGTGGCTCCCTGCAGACACTGCTCCACACAGCGATAGCACTGGAGCATGATCCCATGCTCCTAAACTGCTTCAAGGTTGTAACACAGCAGTTCAACAAATACTGCAGTCACAATGGCACACTTTCTTAGCAAGGCTTTTTTTGGCTTAATATAACCAATAGTGCCATTTTTTTTCCAATTTATTTCCTTCCTGCTCATAATTTCCAACCTACTGTAAACATTAAAGCCTAGTTGCAATTTCAGAGTAATTGACAAAGCCTGTGATTTTGAGATGCAGCATCTCCGGCCTCACTGAGAGTGATTCTAAAGATCCAGTGTGTCAGTGCTGGCTTTTATTCATGCAGTATGTATCATCTGACCTGGATGTGGTAGTATTACGTTCATAGACACTTTTTTTTTTTTTTTAAACTTTCATTGCATGCACTTTCCTTGGCACTTAAAGGACAATGTTTAAAAAAACCGTACTGGCTTAGGTCAATGTGGATGCAAATATGTGTCTGAAACCCAATCCTGGGACACTTTGAAAGACATTAGGGATGCATTTTACCATTGTGAGAGATGGTCTGCAACTTACGTTTGTGGATCTTGCAGGTTAAATACATACTTAAATACTGTATTGTTGTGTTTCAGGACATCACAGGCAAGAAGGTATTTGTTAAAAGGTGAAAATAAGGTCTAGCATAAACTGTATTTGGGCTTCAAATAAAGAGGGATGTTCCACTTTGCAGAAAGGGAACCAGGTAGGTAACTTTCTGAATCAAATGGAATTTTAAAGAAAAAGAAATGACCGGGATAGGGTCATTTAAAGGTTCTCTTAAGTTAATGAAGGTAAGAGCCAGCATTGCATTATCTAGCACCCACCTCTAGAGTTTTGTTACAATGCCCAATAACTATGTAAACGGCTGTTTTTTATAATCTGAACAATTTCCATGGGCTTTTACCTGTAAAACAAAGCATTTATTTACCCCAGAGACGGGACTCACTGGCTACCACCTAACATAGAAAGTTTACAGTCTGAACATAAAACTATGTTTTGATTTCATGTTTCTTTATAAACTTGCCTGGTTTCAATAGACCATTAATAAAAATGTCATAATATTTAAAAAGTATGAGTGGGACTTTTTTCCTTTCTTTTCAGTACAGCAAAGAAAGTCTGACATTCATAAACTGAGTGGACTATGTAGTTAGTAGTGTGGGGAAAAAGAAGAAAACAGAGGTATTATTTCAGAGACATACTTTAAAGACTGTTTGTGTTCTTCAGGAAGTAACTGCCACCAGATAAAGTATTTGTAAGCACAATGAAAACTGAATCTGAAAAAAAAAAAAAAAAAAGCTGGAGAATTTGCGTATTTCCACATTTCCAAGAAATTAATGCCCTAGTGACTTAATGATTAATGAAATTGTCTTCAAAACCAAAAAACAGTTAACTGTTTCTGAAGCAAATGACCAGCTTACTTGTTATATTTTGAAATATTTCAAACTTGTGCTTCACACGAGTATCACACAGCCATAATAATCTTCTCCAGCTCTTTCACATTTGATACAGGTATCTTCCTGCAGCCACTCCTATACCTGAAAACATGTAGTTTACACATTCTGTGACACCTAAGAACATTTGGAAGTGGGACAGCACCAAGAGATTAAGGTATAAAACTGCAAAGAAAGAGGCTGGGAGTCAGCTCATCCATCTCGAGATGGCAACACAGGCAAGCCAAGAGACTAAATTCCCCTTAGTGCCAAAGGAGAGAAATAAGCCTCTCTGAGATGCCATTCACCAGACCTTATTTTACATATACATCGTAGGTAGACACAAGTTTTCTCCACTCTGATTAGATCAGTGGTGCAATTCTTACCATTAGGCATCTGGGATACCCATCCGATTCTCTGTCCAACTCTTCTGCTCTGAATTCTGATTTTCTTTTTTCCTGAAGCAGTTTCAATATTCTAACTCACTTTGAACACAGTATAAGAGAAGTACCTCAAACACAGTAAGATTTCCAAGTCTGATAAAACAACGTTGGTTTCAATACACATCTATCTGCTCAAGACGCTAAAAATGTGTTTTCAGAGGGGTAAAGGACAGGCAAGTCAGCCAGTGCACTTTGTGCTCTAAGCATTGTCATGAACACTGATGCTATAAATAGCACTGCAAGTTCAGTGGCGTCCTGAGTCACGGGCACCTATGAACTCTAATAAACAATGACAAGGAGCCTGTGAGGCTGCTGCGCCTACAGCCTGACACCCAGCCCAGAAAGCCACAGCGGCTTACACTGGAGTTTTGACAATCCTGGGTTGTTTTCAGCAGCTCTGAAAGCAAATGAATCGATTATGAAAAATAGGGTAGTGAAATGATGGGAATGCTTCTAAATGTGGACACCAGCTCCTTTGAAGGACTGCCTCAAGCACTCCTGCAAGTGGGCCTGTGTCTGCCAGAAGCATTACCAATGGTGACCCTGAATAGAAGGCCTGGTGAGAACAACATATCCAGAACATCCTATGAAAACTTCTGAAGGTAACTTTAAGCCCAATGGCACAACTACTTGGGCTTCTGCACCAAGAGGGAATCACTGGAGATGGAGTGATGTCCGCTTGTACCAGCTGCAGAATCATGGTGGAAGTCAGATACAGAAAGACATCATTACCATATGAAGTCACCTTCCCATCCAATAAAAGAAAATTACCAACTATAAATATTTTAAAAGCTATTTTATTTATCTTGAAAGGAGAGAAACTGATTAGTTGTATAAAATATTATCATACATTTAATGTAAAGCCTTCAGTCTGTTTGAACAAAAAAAAAATAGACTGTCACAGTAAAGAAATAATGAATCTGTTAAGTACTGGACTCTGTAATATCACCCTTCTAGCCAACTTACGATCAGCGTGCCACAATGTTAACATATACTTTGTCTGTAAAACTGCAAAAACTGAGAAAATAAACATAAGGTACTCTTAAGGCTTCTGCACATTTTTCAGGAAGAAAGTTGAAGCTATATTGAGACTAAAAAAAGCCCTCAATTTTATTTTAAAATTCATGGACAAATCAGTGCGCTGCTTGTAGAATTTTTAGTAGTTCCAGGATTAGCTTCTGTTCAACACAAGAACTGATCTTTAAAAATGTACTACTGTAAGTATTCTAGGATCAGCCAAACAATTTCTACATAAGCTACCTGGAGAACATGTGGTTTTAAAATGTTTGTGTAATGAATAGCATGCTTTTCTACTATAACTGTTTTAATTTAAGTAGCTACAAAAGCTAATTTCATAAAAATGGGTAATTTTAAAGTAAGACTTCATTTATTTACTTAATCCATTGGAAGTAAAACATGCTTTCCCTAACTGGCTATTTTGCAAATGCTATGTCATTGCAAGAAAGTCCAGTATCTGCATCAGTAACTTACAAAGATGTAAGACAAAAAAAGTTGTGGGTTGATTTTTTTTTTTTTTTGCTAGTTGCAACAGTTCATAAGTTGCCTACTAAACTCTGCCTTTTCAGTAAAATAAGGCAGACTGGTTTTCCTGGCATTGGCTCATTAAGTTTTGCTTTTTTGCAGATGCTACAGTAAGGCCAACAGGAGATTCCCTGTGCTTTTAGACACCAGTCTACTCTTACCTGGAACCCAGCTGGAGACACTCAGCTTCCAGCTATAGGGAAGAGGTTGTTTGATGCCTGTTTCTCGAGCTATTTGGTTTGGCTACAGTTAGGTGAAAATTTAAAGAAATCACAAAAATTCTACATTGTTAGAATTTTAAGATCTTAGGTGTACCGAGCAGGATTTAGGTTTGGGGTGCTTTTTCTTTTCCTTTTTTTTTTTTTTAAATAATTGAGATTTTCCAAGATTAGAAAGTGCACCTCAAGTACTCTGCAGATAGGAAGAAGCTTCAGTTTCTGGGAAGATTCTCTGTTGGATTCTGGGAGGAATCTCTGTGGGAGTCACATTCCATGAAATTCAAACTGAGGGACAGTGTAACTGCCCTCTGAAATTACACTGGGGCAAGAGCTGGGGAAGGAGAACTACAAAACACTAACTACTGGGTTCAGTAGTACAGCTACATAATGAGTTCAGTTTGAATTCAGGTTGCAATTCTAATGTGAGGCCCTGACTGCGAGATCTATGACTGCAGTGCAGTTTAAGTTAATGGGAATTTGATGTGCTAATTATATACAGAGACAGTAATCTTTGCAGTATTTGGCCCCTCATTTTCAAAATTTGCAAGTAATGAAAATCTAAAAATGAAATCTAAGAAACAAAATTAGTGCATTTCAAATCATTCTAGCTAACATTTTGTCTTCAGACAGAAAACCTCAATCCAAGTAGACTGAATTGGCTTAAATCAGTAATGTTGCAATAGGAAACTAAGACACCTTCCAAGTCTGTTTTTAAAATCCTCAAAAAAATATATAAATTAAATTCAGTGGCTTACATTGTATATATGCTACATCATAAGGCAAAGTATCATGAAAAACATGTAAAAAATTTATTAAAAACTCCAAATGCTTTCAGCTAGCAGTTTGGAATAATAAGCAACTAAAAAAGCAACTCAATTAATGAAGGCTGTAAAATGAAAACAATCTAAGAGGGCCTGCAGTGCAGCCCCTGGTCCTGAGTAGAATCTCACTTTTCTTCACTGGCTGAGGTATCATTTCCATCATTCAGTTTCTGTTTTTGCATTCTTGTTCGAGTAGATGCTAAAAAAGACCACAACACAAACAAAACAAAAGAAGAATGAAATTAATTAATTTCTTCAGAATTACTTTGAACATGTATTGTATTGTAAAAATTTGTAATGAGACAAGGAATAGAAGTACACTCTTTAAATAAAACAAATCTCTCGTTTTAAACACGTAATTCTGAGCAAGAATTGCTGAAACAGCTCAGTCTCACATATCTTAAGAAGTTCATTCCACCTGTTCACTCAAGTTTTCATTGTTTCTGTACCCTCACTTTGTTTTCACCCTCAAGGCAGGCAGATGAAGTGCATAATGTAGGGATCTCATCTCACTGCTAGGCAGATGCTGTGGGCTGAGCAGCCCCCACATCCCAGAGCCAAGCTGCCCAGGAAATGCATTTTCCCCCCTTTTCCCTTTCTTAACCTCTGCCATCCTCTAAAATAAACAGAGGTGCCTGGCTCCATACTTATACCTATCTTGATGAGCAAACACTTGCTAGATAAAAATGTTTTAATGGGCAAATCCGCTCAGCTACAGAGCTCAGATTCCACCAGAGTGAGAATGCCTGGTCAGACCAAGTGTGTTCCTTCTCAGGAGCAGAAAATACAACTCAGATGTGGGGATGGGGCTGTTTTGCTTTTCATGAGCTAAGATTTGAGTTTCATTTCAAAGACAGAAAAGTGATCCCATAAGATCCAAAAGAAACGCTGATCCACAGTAGAAGAGTCAGCAATCTCAGGCATTTTAGTATAAAAGATAGCAAAGCAAAAGAGAAATTACATACAATTTTCTTGTGTATAATTCTCCTTTATTATATTGTAATTGCACAAAAAGGTGTTCCAGTCAACTAAATGTTGCTGCAATTACTACTTATTTCTACCTGCAAGCTCTCAGCTAAGGGTCTGTAACCAGGACAAATGGAAAAGCCTTGGCATGCATTTAATTCCATTGTTTAGGAAAAATGTGTCATGCTCATTTTCTTATTCACATGTAATATAGCATCTCCTATGCTGCCGTGCCATTTAATATCCTCAAAGGCTGAGGATTTTCATTATATGATCTGCATTTTCAAGATCAAATGGAGCAAGTACAAAAAAACAAGCAAGTTACTGAAATGACATCTGTGCTGAACATTTTTTATGGGAGTGGGCACAAACTGTTTTATCCAAGGCACTCATTGCTGTGCAGTTAATGGAAAAAAACCCAAACACTCACTCATTTCTGCAAGCTTTTGTTGGAACTTGGACTCCTGGGGTAGGTGTTTGCTGCAGACAGAAAACATATGATTAAGCAGAAGTTAGAACAAATAACTATTTATCCTCATATAATCTAACTTTAAATCAAGGTTAGTTCTTCTCAGTGCTATCGCCTTCTCTTACAGAGATGCAAAGTCATTTTTCATCCACACTAAATTCAAGAGTTGCTTGATTTCTTGTATGTCTAAAAAAATTGAGGTTTGTTTTTTAAAAGACTGACTAAAGACAACAGCGTGGTTTAGCACTCAGCAGGAAAAACTGTGATGCTGGATGTACAGGCACTGAATAAATCTTTGCTTCTGACCTCAAAGCATCTAATCGAAAAGTATTATGCTACTGTCTCTCTAATGTATTTACTAGAGTTCACAAATGAACAGAAGTTAGGATGTCAGGAAGAAGTTAGCATGGAAGGCCCTGAGAACCAAATACATGTAAGATTACTGAAAAGCCAAGAACAATCTTTTACCTTCCATCTGCTTCGTCTTGCCCTTCTATATCAAAGCGCAGCCTCTTCAGTGGCTTAGGAGCAGTGCTTACTTCCGCACTGCGTTTTAGCTGGCAGTCACTGTTGCACACCATCTGGTTTATTTTTTGAAATTTTTCAGAAGTCTGAAATGACGACAATGGGGAAAGAATTGTCAATACATTCTGAAACTACTCAAACTTCCCAGATTATCCACTAAAAAACTTAGGAGTTCTAAAACTGCAGTTTACCTTCTGTCAAAGCAACAAAAAAAAAAAACCCAACCCAAAACATTTTAAAACAATGCAAAACATTTTAAAAGTGAAGTCTGGATATTTGAAAGGAGTTAACAGAACACCCCTGTAACCTTTGTGCTTACAGATTGCATAAAACACTATGTTAAATTAAGAGACACTCACTGGTCAATTCTATGGGTGCCAGCAGGCTATCCCATTCCTCCAAAAGTTACATGCATTCAAAACCAGACATTAAAAATGTTAAAACTCACCCCAAAAGATTCACCAATTGACACCAAAATTCTGCCAAATGAAGAAAAGAAGCATTTAAGATTAAGCTACATTTAACAATGATAGAAACATCCACTAATTTGCACAGCTTAGCATAAAACATTAACAAAGTCTCTTCCTTTCTCTCTACATTAACAGTGCAAACCTATACTACACTTTACTGTGTTGAGACTGTTCATTTTCTATTCAGGCCAGTGAATTCTGAATCACCAAATCAACCATACCATACAGATAGAAAAGATACTGTGGCTTGAAAGAATCCCCCCTCAGCCTGTCCCTTAGCAGGAAGATACTTCAGTGCTGGGTACCCAGATAATCATCCTTTCATCATCACCTTTAGGTGTTTGCTAATTGAAGCCATGCAGAACTTCAACCTCAAATATACAATATTTTAACTTTTGTACACAGAGTGGGCCAGGTGCAGTGTGACTCACTTGATCCTAGTTTGAAAAATCCCCTGGACACTTGCACATTTGCTGTCATCTTCATCGGTAAGAATTAGTGATCAACAGTTTGAAATGTTCTGCTCAGTCAAGTAAACACCCTGAACTATTTTGTTCCCAAAAAGTATTTTGTTTTTAAAGAAGTGTACAAAGCTCATCTATGTCTGTCAGGAGTGTGATCCAAAGTCAAAGCCAACAAAATTTAATCAACTAGGTCAGAAAACCCCTCTTGGCTGTGACCATTCTAAAGAAAAGGAAAAAAAAAAACCAAACTCCTTGAGCACACTGACTTAACTGAAACAGAAAAGCACTCAAAGATGAATAAAGATTCCAAATACAGGACACAAACTTTTAATCAGTAAAGGTACAATAACCACAGACTACTGATAAACTAGACTGTGATTTTCTAATTTGCTTCCACTAAAATCCCCTAAAATCCCCAAAATACCTTTAAATTTAGTCAAAGAAATGCTTGTCAATAACCCACCTAGACCTTGGAGTCATCTTTGTGGGTGACTGAAACCCATCAGAGAATTTGTATGGGCTCTTCAAGGGTGAGATGTAGATGTTATTGCCAGCAGGTACACGCCGAGGAGAGTTGGAAAACTGGTAAGGGCTGCGAGGAATGTGTGGGATGGGTGACAGAGTGGGAGGCTATAAAAATAATAAAATAATCATAAGGGTTTATTGTCTATATATCCCCATTCTATTAAATAATTAATACTGAACACAACTAACAGCTTACCCTGTTGGAGGCATACTGCAAAATATTTGTTTTCAGCTTCTGCATAAACACCAAGTTGTAGAAGACTATAATGGAGTCATACTGTTCTTCCCTGATAAGAACACGCTTGAAAGTCTACGTAAGAGTGAGAAAATCATACACAGTTGTAAATAAAAAAAAAAAGAGACAATTTTACATGTGACAAACTCATAAACCCATTCAAAAAAACCTGTGTTAGATAAGAACTAAGGTGGTGTAAGAGCTAAGATGGAATGAATATTGTATACAAGCCATTGTAACTACTATTTAGAACTGTTATAAATTGTGGGTTTTTTTCCCCAATGTGTATGAACATCGGTAGGGGCACCTATTTAATTAACTGGCACAGCCCTCTAATGCAAACGCAGTTCATCAGTATGATAAAGTTTTCCAAATTTAAGCTCCATTTACTTTAACACATGCAACTGTCAAAAAAATGGCTTTGTTACTGGGCATGCCTTGCCAGGCTAAAAAAAATCATTATTGAGCTGATGAAGATAAAATAGTTCTTTAGGCTTGGAGACAAATGTCTGAAGTTTAGCCAAGACTCACAAACACACTATGAGAAATTCTCCTAATAAAAGGATGCCTACAGGTCAATTAATTCTTTGGCTGTTTGTTTTATTTTCTATTGATTTAATTATTATTTTATGCAAAAATTGAAAGAACTCTATTAGAGTTAAGCCTGCAACTTTAATACATACATACCTGTTTGATATATAACCATACAACTCTGATATCTAACCATATTTCTATAAAAGCTGCTCAAGAAAGTTATCTGCTTGTCTGCATTTAATGCCCAATGGAAGTTAGGTAACTTTTAAAAAAACTTGGGCTGTTTCAGAAAATCCTTTGAGCAATACATCTGAACCTTTCATAAACTCCAAATAGAATCATTGCCCATTACTTAGTATCTTTAAGTAAAAGAGTGGAATGAAGTTTGCTTTCTGAGGAGAGTAACCAAACTATTTGAACAAGATGTTTAAAGAGACATTTAGTACTAGAGCCAGTTTTCTCCTCCACAAAATGGAGATGCAGTGAAGCAGAAGTTTTCTTTTGTATGTTCAAGTGCAGTTTGTTGGTGGTTTGGGTTTTTTTTTTTTTGTTTTAGACAGAGAGAAGCAATTAACATATAACATTTTTATGGAGGGATAACATTAAAGACTTTCCATACCTCTTGATTTGTGTTGGGAAGCTCCTTGTATGCCGAAACTATTATTTTAAATCTAAGATCTACATTCTTGACTTTGCATATGCCATACATGGAACACATCATGATCTATTGAAGAAACAAGAAAAGACAACTGGAAATGTGAGAATTAGTTCAGCTTCTTCATTTCAAGTTAAGAAATCAACTGATGAGCTTTCTATTACTGATTGTGCTCTGGAAACTAGCATGGAACTCAACTTCATAAGAACTTCCAGAATATAGGTCAACTACCATCCCCTCCATTTCTGTATGACAGTCAATTAATCTGAGCTGGTAACATCTTCTCAAACTCATTTCACACGCTGTAATTTTAGGGTAGAGTAACAAAATGCTTATCAGCCACACACACTGTCTTCCCAAAGAAAATCAGTTATTTTCTTATGCAAATTATCAGAAAATGTGGTGTGTCTCATTATTTTGAAAATAGCTGTAAATGGTATTTGAAGATCACATAGTAAGTAACTGCTAGTACTTAAAAAAACCTGAGATTATAGACTTCACTCTAACTTAATTTCTCCTTTAAGTGATCAGTACAGAAGTAGAAACTCTGATTACAATTTCTAATGGCTAAGGAACATATAACGAACATTTCATTCAGGATTCTTTTTAAAGTTTTTAAAGCTTTTTTGTTAATGTTACCTGGTCCAAGTGCCTGTCTCTCATAAGTTCATACTCATTTTGCAGTGTGTGCTGAAAGAGGGTCCAGATCAAGGGTTCCAGGTCGGGATGTTCAGAGAGAAGCCGAAAGAACAAGGTATGTAGTCGAAGATAGGCCAGTAGATACACTTCAGAAATGAGAAGAAAAATATATTGAAATTGCAATAATAGGGATATACAAAATAAGAGGAACACGATGGAGGATGGAGAGCAACTGAACATTCACCAGCTCCCACTACAAAAACTACAAGCCATCAAATGAAGGTAGAAGAAGCCAGGTTCAAAATAAATGGAGAAGATTCTTCATACAACAGGCAGTGGACACATGGAAGTCCACACCAAACAATGCCACGCATGTGTGTCTACGTCGATTCAAGAAGAGTCTGAATAAGCATTTGGAACATGAATCTACTGAGAGGTACTAAGCAGACACATCACAAAAGACTCAGGAAAACCCCTGAGCTTGAGAAAGTCAAAGCTTGGGAAAACATTCAGAGGAAGCACCGTATATACGCTTGCACAGTTCTTAAGTTTCCCATGACATCTATTTATGATCACTGCTGGAAGAAGGATGCTATGACAGAAGAACCCTCCATCCGGGCCCATATGGCCGTTCTCACAATCAGCAGATAGGTTTTCAGTTTAAAATTGCAGTGTGGGCAGTACATGCATTAACCTGCTGGCACTGTTCTACTGTTTCTTCCAGAGGCAGCTGAGGGTTTGCATGGTGTTTACTACTGATTCTATTATAATCTTTTAAGTTCCAGAACCTGAAAAAGATAAGTAACAAAAGATAACTGCCATTTCAGCACGTACAGAAGCAACAAACCTTTTTTGTAGAACAGAGAGAGGGAGGTAGACTTCTGTGGTTTTTGTGTCTGGGGGGTCGCACCTGGCTGAGCATCTGGAGTGGAAGTACCACTTAGAGAAGGTCCAGATGCTTTCTTCTTAGGAGATCTCACAGGAGAAAGATAGCTGGAGATTGAACATTTATTAAGCACTTAACATCACAGGATAAAGGAAAAATTTTGTATGTATAATACTTGAAGGAACTCTTCCCTCTTCCCACTTTAGAAGAAATTAATTGCTACCGTAACCTGTTTTTCCCGTATCGGAATTAAAAATTCAAGTTATTGATTAAATACCTGATAAAGGGACTTATCTATACCTAGGTAAGTAAGGCAACAGATTGCAATTACAAGTTTGATAGGGCTTGGAAAAAATTATTTTGGAATTTGATTTAGCTGAATTTTCTTGTATATTAAGCAACAGAAAATACAACCGCTCAGCATAACCTAAGTACCAAGCCTAACAAGTAGGAAAACAGAATAGAAGTGGATTTAAACATTAAAGGCAATTTTAATGCCACATTTTACTAGACCTCAAGCAAGTGTGTCACTTACAGGTCTGCGGCAGTGTGATTATGCTGGAGAGGCAGATTGAGAGTGGAAGTTGGCTCAGGCTGATCAGTTTGGCCTTCTCGTTCTTTTGACTGCTTGATAAGATCGAACAGAGGTGACCCCTAGAAAAATGACAGTCACGGTACGTTATGCAGAGAATAGACAACCACACTGGATGGATTTTGTTCCTTCTTCTCCAACGTCTGAAATACGATCCTAAGCAGAACATTCACATTTTGAAATACCTCAGAACATTGATACTTTGCCAGATAAATTTTAACTGACAAATTTTAACTATTAAATACACTAAACACCTCTTCTGCTTCAACAGCAGTCCATTAGATATAGGGTAACTACAGAGTCGAGGCATAGCTGTATTCTAGAATCTCTTACTACTTCCTCTTAAATAGCCATTCCTGAGAAGAGCAAACAGTACAAGAGAATATATAAAAGATCACATTTCAAAAAAATAAAATAAACAAAACAAACACCCCACCCCATTGGTGACTGAAAGTTACTGCTGTCAATCCATTTCTGCTAAAACAGCTACACAATATTTTACATACAATACTATACAAACCATGGTCGTAACTCATCTATGTGCACTGGGAACTATTTCAATCTCTCTGCAGTGTCATGTTCCAGAGTGTACCTCTGGTAAGAGTTGTAGTCACTGTAGATACATTAAGTTTCTGCCCTCATGCCCAAAAACAAACATGATTTTGATTTTAGGTCAGTTATCAGTACTTTAGGTAAGGCAGCTGGAATACGTCTGAACCTACTAAGAGCCTGAGGTAGGAGGCGAAGCAAAGAGGATGTAAGCAGAATGGAGAAGCTTCTGGCTGAAGCAACAGTAGTACTACTGCCGACGTTAGTAATAAACACCCGTCTGCAGAAACAAAACCTCAGGCTTTTGCTGCTTGTGTGTCATGTACAGAATAGAATTATGCTGAGACAGCAAGATTGCAAGGGAAAATAATCTGTCACCGTATTTATAACTAACTCTGAAAACACAGAGTTGCTGGCTTCCATTTTTTATTTTCTTTAAACAGGAGACTCATCCTTGAGCACAATGTTGCTTTCCGACAGTGCAGCATCCAAACTCCAGAAGCAACAGAACAACTTCTGATTAGCAACTATCTGCCTTCTTGGGGGGAAAGCAATGTCCATAAGACTGGGAATGAAGTGGGGAAAACCAGACATTCAACATTTTCCTCCAAATCATCTACCAAAGGATAGCAGTAAAACCAATCGGCTCAACACTTTGTACATAATGCATCGTTCAATTGTCCAAGGTCTATTTGATCCTACAAATTCATGTTACTAATATTAAAATATGATGGCACAACGACAAATCTGTAGCTACCAGAACAAACAAGAGCACAGTCGCATGTTAAGCAAGCTGCACCACATAAGGCAATTAAGAAAAGGCCTAGTAGAGCTAAACTAGATTTACAAAGATTAAATCTAGCATTAAGACTTTCCTCATTTAGCCTTATTTCTAAGATGACACTTCTGAAATGCATCAACTAAAATTTCAGAGCAACAAGGTGAGAGTGACTTGAGATTTACAATTTTTCACATTGTGTAACTTTTAAATTATGATTTTGACAATACTGGAGCTGTTCCATCCATAACAGAAAAACATCAGTTACTGACTCATAATCACATAGTTATTTCTCAAACAGACCAGGTCTTGGGCTGGTTTGCGTCATCTTTCTGTGTACTGAGGAGTGCATGCACTTCTCACTTGTTTCTTTCAGTGCTGCCCTTGCTGGAAATTCAGAGACATGACCTTCTCTATTTCTCGTTCTTCTGGCCACTTGGCCTCTTCCTTTTTATTATTCCCATCCGTGTTTCACTGTGCTCTGAAGAATCCAAGTTTCTTTCCCAGAGCAATCACTAATTCATTGCTGAAACATCTCTTGATTCCTTGACTAAAAGTGAATCCCACTTCATTCATTTCACATTTTAGCTCTTAATGACTGCAAAAGAGGTTGATAAAGGGGAATGAGAGATCAAGAAACAGAAGCAAAAGTCACTATTTTTTAAGTTAGCACTTGAGAAGAGCAGTTCCAGATCCTCTCTCAACCCTGCTTCTATTTTCACTACACAGTGTTATTTCATTAGATAAGACAAGGGTACACAGCAGATTGCTACCTATGGAAGGGATCTGCCTATTTTTACATCATTTCCACTCCTCCTCTTCTACTTGCCAGCACTGACAATCAGTCAGTCTCCACATAAGTCACTGTGATGCACTAAACCAGCAGAAAGTTAAACAGAGAAAGCACAACCGGATTTAAGCCAGCTCTGCAGAGAGTCACAGAGCCAGAAGCATTAAGACAGGGCAGCAACACCACGGAGGTTGGGAGCAAAGCAGGGAAGCAGAAAACTGGGAGTGTGAGATGTCCCGCTTTCACTGACAACAACCTGTTCAATCAGCTGGTTGTCAGGAATTTATGAAACCTACCACTGCTTTCCATCAGTCAGACGAACTATAGTTAACAAGAGGATATTTTTTGTGTAGAAACAGCTATATAGAGACCAAGTAGCATCTTTCCTTGCTCCAATGGAGCAATTACATCTTTCCTGTCTCCCACAAATACTAATTGACACTGGTTAAAAAATGTGGCAAAACAAATGGGGTGTTGTCACCCAGCTGGCCCCCAGCAGCACAGAGCAGCCAGCATCAGCAGTGGTGGGATGGGAGAAAGCACCGACACAACACGTGCGCTTGGGCAAACCATGGTTGGGGTGCCTAACCTGACTGCAGAAACTTTGATAGCGCTATGGTTGCACAATACAGGAAAAGGTTAGTTTTCAGACCTGGTGAAATTTAAGGTGGGTGTTATGCCTATCACAATTTCCACCTTACATCTAAGAGGATTTTAGACAAAGCCCTCTGAGCTCTTCCCCAGGGACCCCTACCATTCTTACTGGTAGCTTTCCAAATGCACAGCCACGTAGTTGGAAAAGAGAAGTAGGTTCTACACTGATGAGACTGCTGCCTCACAAAAAATACTAATGCATGCACTAACGTAGAAATACGCAGAGATTAATTCTCTCAAATCCATCTACACACCACACTGCAAAATCGATGGGTTAATTACAACCTTGCCTCCTTTCTCTATATTTAAATGTGAAAAAGGCTTCTACTTAGTGACTCTAAAGTGCATTCTAGAGCTTACAGGGAGTTTTCAAGTTTATCAGGGCAAACTCTGGTCAGCTTTAGTCCCACTATTTGGTACTCAGCAATCTACCTCTCACTCGAATAAGCCAAATATAATTAACGGGACAATTACCAGTCCTCTAAGTAATAGTCACAAAAGGACTTTAGCCCCTGTGTCCAGCTTTATTGAACAGGAATGTTTATTAGTAAGCTGTTTCTAAAGAAACATTATTCATGCTATCTTACAAATTTTATATTGCTTTGTGAAGCTTTTAAGCAGCATTCCAGGTGAACAGGTCACAGCCAATGCATTCCTTTCACTTGAAAGGAGTTTTGCAGGTTTTACTTTAATTTAATGGTAAGTGATTAATGTTACTACATGCAGACACAGAATAAATTTTACTAATTAAGCAGAATGCTACTTTGCATTTGAGACTTCCCTGCAATGGCTAGAGAAGCCCCATTTTATTATTGTGAAAAGGGAAAAAGCAGTTAAGACCTAAAATTTCTCAGGGTCAAATAACCACTGGTATCAGAATGAAGACTAAGACTGAAATTTGACTCGGTCCCCTCTCACACTACCCAAGGCTAAGTATAACTCTGCAATGCTAAACTCCATTAGTTAAGTGAGATTTCGTTAAGTGAGCCTCTGCAGAACGTCTTCCTGCAGCAACACCTGCATTGCAAGTATCTGCAGTGATTTTCCCAATCTGAGAGCTCCTTTTATGGATAAAACAGGCAGAATATCCTGTTGGCTAATCTTTATTTGGCTATGATTAAACTACAGGATACACAGGTGCTTCCCAGCTTCCCACTCTTTACATCAGCTCTGTCCCAACAACATGTTTAACTGGACTTTGGTTTCCATGAAAAGATTAAACAAAAGACCTAAATCCTTAAATACGGGGAACAACTACCATGGGGTTTGGGTGTCGTCCACTGACTACAGAGGAAGTCCTTGAGCAGTTTTATTCTCAGCAGTGCTAATTTTTGCAGTATTTTTAAAAAACAGCTTTTGTCTTTTGTTTTCTATTGCTTTATGGTTTTATTATTTATAATAATTTCCTAATAGATTTTCAGGCTTTAGTTATTTGTCCACAATAAATTTTAAAGCAGTGTTTATCACCAAACTGTGTACATCTCAATGCCAAGCTCCCTTGGGCTTGTTTTTTCACTTATATAAGCAACACCTCAAATTATTCAATCAGTCAATATAACACATAATATTAAGAAATGTAGTTCTTCATAATACGCTAAAAGTTGGCTGTGATTTTGCAAGGCAAAACAAAGCCAATTTAGAATTGACAGCCTTGGAATGCAAGTGCAAAGACTGGATCAGCGTGAACTACTTCCACCCCTCCTTCCCATGACGGAATCGCACACCCAGAAAGTTGACTTTTGCTTGCGATCGTATTTTCAGAAATTCCACGCCAATTCGTATTCAGAATTCTGAAATAATTTAGGCCTGCCAAAACAAAATGTACTTCACAGTGTAAATTTAAATAATACTTACCACAAAGAAATAGTAAGATTAAGGACCGCGTTTTAATTTCATACATTTGTGTTATATAAATTATATTCCTATTAGAGCTTGTTCTTACAAAATTTATACAGAAAACCATTAACAACTACAGTGTTAATAGTTTAATTCATATAAGAATACTGACAGATCTGCTTTTAACTCCTTAGAACAAACGTATGTTTAATACAAGCCCTACTCCTACCTTACTCATCACCAGCATTTAAGATCAAGTAATACTGTCATCAAGCTTTGTGAAGATCTCCTTTTAACTAAATGTGTAGTATACAGAGGAAGAAAAAAAAAAAAAGCAGAAAAGAAACAGTGACTGTTAATTAGTTCTGGTCATTTGAAAGCAGTATTTTGATGGGCTTTTCCTCCTCACACAAGAGGCTTAGTAAGTCATACACAAAAGAGGAAGTGATAAACAC